CACGAATTCCGCGCCGGGAATGGCACGACGGTACGGCCGGAATCAATGAACCCTGATTTTCGTCTTCGCGCAAGGCACGCTCTCCGTTCACGAGGCTCCGTGCACGAGGCGAGCAAAAGCCTCGCACGGCAGAATAGCCTGGTAATTAGCGCGGTGTAATTAGCTTGTGCGAGTTTTCTGCAATCGACTCTTTATTTGCTGATTATTCGGAGGACGACGCGGACAGATCGGCAATGCGCCGCCGCGCAATGAAAGTTTCCCGTTTAATCCTTCACTGCGCTGCTTTGCACATCTGCAGAGCAGAGTTTGAACTGGACTTTCTCTGCTGTCAGTCAGAGTTTAACATTGCCGAATTGCTTATTTGCTTATTTGAATAGACGCGGCTCTAAGCGGGAGAAAAGAATTGGCCACCAGTCTGCGCTAGTTTTGCAGATATGCAAAGTGACGAAAAAAAATTATTTTTCAAGAAAATATAAGTGAAATATTTTTAAAAAAATTTTTCCTGTATTCCTTGACCAATCCTGCATATGAAAATAATTATTGATGGTCATTTATAAAAAAAGTGCGGAATGAAGGGTTAACGTCCGCGTGCGAGTGTGTCCGGTCGTGAAACGCTGATCATCCAATTGCATTCTTTTCGCTTTCATCGAAATGAAATTGCGGGCAGAAATTTCGCACAAATCTCTCTCTCTCTCTCTCTCTCTCTCTCGCTCGCTCTCAGACGACTCGGCAGCCGCGAAATTGAGCCCGACGTTCGTCGAGTTCACGCGAACGCGAAATTTCGCGTTTTATCGATACCCCCTAATGACATTCCTAATTATAATCGAAAGCAACTCCGAAGTAATTCTACTCTAACTCGCGGTAACTCCGTTACAACTGACATCCCTCGCTCCCTCGCTGTATAATATGGGACGCGCATTTACATAGGTAATACCCGTCGCGCAGATTCGATGTTTCCGTTGGCGCGCGCTCGCGCTCGCGCGTTACATAATGTACCAATTAAAACTCCTCCGCGTTAACGAAGGATTAACACCGGTTGGCCGCTCTTCTTCTTCTTCCCTCCGCCGCCCGGTAAACGCGCGACCGACCTCCCCACGAGAGCATCTTTAATTTCATGCTCGATCGAGACGCTCGCGCGCAACCGCCCTCGTCGAGCGCGCGAACTTCCGGGTCGGGGAGCGCACGCGCGCGGGCAAAAGACGGAGCATCGATAACTGGTATTCGAAACAACTTGGACGGGGCTATCGGGGCTCGCGTCTCGCCAATTGAAAACTGTCGGTCGAAGGAGTTATCGCGCTTAAGGCAACAGCCTTCTCCTCCTCCTCCTTCGCCCCCTCCCTCCCCCCTCCCTCTCTCTCTCTCTCTCTCTCGCCCTCGCTCTCTCGTACCTCTTCTCTCCTCCCGGCTGCTCCTCGGTCCGTCGGAATCACGATTAATGTGCCATTAAGAGAGATTGGAAATCCTTTCGGCCCCGGAGACTTTCGTCGCCCAGCGGCCAACGGACGACCAAGTTCCCACAGGCGCTCGCGCCGTCCACGATTTTGCATTCCATTTGCCGGGGAACGTTATCCCCGCTTCGCTTTCGTTCTCCCGAGGGTGCACTTGCCGCCAGGCGGTAGCCACGCCGGAGGTAAATCGCATTTGCATGAGGGCTTCTCTCCGCTTCTCTACTCAGGTAGATTTCGACGACCTCCCTCCCTCCCTCCCTCCCTCCCGCCCTCCTTACTCTCCCGGTGGCCTCTATGATACCGTCTCGTTGTTTCCCCGAGAAAGTTACGACGACCGTCTCGACGTACTTGCTGAGTACCTTCGTCGACTCGCTCCGCACCCTCGTTGTATACGCGGAAACTTTGCCGCGCCGGTCAGCCGCGAGCTTCGTCATTCTTCGCATATCGGTGATAAATCTGATACGCGGGGAATTTAATCCGCGGCTTGCTAGATGGGCCTGGAATACGTCGCGACTGTTGAATCTCGAGGGCAGAAGGAGATTCCACCGCGAAGAATGCAATCTCTCGTTCTCGGGGAGCGCGTTCATAAATCGCGATCCGTCCGCCGGATGCACGCCGCGCCGCGGCCGTGTTCTCCAAGTCGAGAGTCTCGATATTCGACGCGGGTGATAGCGATAAGGATAATTGATGCAACGAAAACGAGATTTTTCTCTCCGTTGCGAGCGTTCAGCCATTACACACACACACACACACACACACGTACACCACACGATGACCTCGGCGCTATTGTGTTCCCAAACGTTCGCCACGATGTTTGGCTATCGGACGGAGAACGAAAAATCGCGCTCCTGTTACGGCGATATATCAGATGATTTTCACATCGGCCCGTGAAAGCGGCGGGTTCCCTCAATTACACTTTATTAGGGAAAACTCTCGAGCCGCTTTGGTAAATTCTCATGTGTAGCTGCTTGTAGGAACGAGAGAAAGAGAAAGAGAGAGAGAGAGAGCCGCATTCGCGACAGTCGATGCGTTCCACGCGGTATGTTTTTGCCGTGGGACAGACGCTTACCGTATCGCGCTGTCCGTTGCGAGCACGAGAGAAGTGCCGCGAGAAGTTATCGGAGCGGGAGACGCCGATTGGATGTTTACATGGTAGCCCCCGCTCTCTCGTTCGCCCGATCGGCCGCTCGATCGACCGACCGAACGACCGACCGACCGAACGACCGAACGACCGGTGTTACGACATTGAACTTGGCCCTGTGCCTGAAACTTTTTAATTTATTCGCACGACCACCTTCGCTCGTGGAGTTTGTTAACCCTTCGCGGTCGTTGCCACTGCAACACCGTCGCGGCGACCGCCGCCGCCGCCGCCGCCGCCGCCGCTTGTTTTGCGCCGCGCGGTGATATATCATTCGGCGCGCTGCATCGGGCAGAGTGTTCTCAAACGAACGCTCGCCACGATGTTCGGCTGCCTTACGGAGAGCGAAAAATCGCGCTCCAGTTACGGCGATATATCAGATGATTCTCGCATCGGTCAGTGAAAGCGCCGGGTTCCCTCAATTGCACTTTATTGAGGGAAACCCGAGCCGCTGGTTACACGTCTGATAAATTTGCTCATGCATAGCTGCCCCGGTAATTCAATCACGATCGTGGAGAACCAATATCATCATATATTTTGTTATTTTGTGTAGATTAATATCTCTCTCTCTCTCTCTCTCTCCCTCTCCCTCTCCCTCTCACACATACACACGCAGCATCGGCTATTAAATCACCGCGCACAATTTTATTTTTGCGCTTCGGTATTAAAATATTACCAATATGATATTCAAATTTCACATTGCATCATTTCGTGATTACCATTCAAAGCTGGGTACGCCACCGTTTTTTTGCATTAATCGAACGTATTTGTTAACATGGTTTTTTCCCTAGATGAATTCCTCACTGATTCTCTCTCTCTCTCTCCCTCGGAGGGATTGAATCGTTCATTAAATTTAATTAAAGCGAAACTGCACGATCAAATTATTCGCCATCGAAAATCTCTGTGCTCTTTGTTATTATTTCGACGTTATTGAAGAATTCCCGAATTAATTGCGCGGTTTTAATCGCGGCTCTTTCAATTAAACGCACCTAATGCCCCAGGTGGATCGCCGCGCGTCTCTGTATCTGTCCTCCATTGCACTCCATATTCATACCCTTCGCCGGCACTCGAAAGGGGTCGCACCGGAGTAACATACTGTTGCGACCGCTATTATTCGTGGGAAATTCAGGGCGCGTAATCGCATTCTGCCTCTCTCATTTAACGAGCGGAAACATTATTAACGAGCGTACGCCCGAGTGTCTGTTGTCTTATTTTTCTTTCTTTCTTTCTTTCTCTTTCTTTTTTTCAACCTGCGCGCACCATCGCCATCGCCACCACTGCCGCCGCTGCCGCCGCGCCGACGGCGAGCGACTCCTCGTCGCCTCTTTTTTCCCCTCCCCTTTTTCTGAAAGCCATTGTCTACACGGTCGTCGCGGTTTCTCAGCGACGTGGCGTGGGAAGGTTCGCAGGGCCTTAAAGTTCGCGCCGTCCAAGGTGAGGGTACACGCGCGCGCGCGCGCGCGAAGTGGGGAAACCCAGCCGCGCGCCACTCTAACCCAATTTATATATCAGCGCACGTTGAGTCCCCCTGCGAAGCTGCATTCGCAGCGGCGAGCGCCTCCGCGCGGTGCACACCCGCCTTCTCGATTCATATTTACAAAGCAAACAGCGGCGGATTAATCTCAGAAAGAGAATATCTAGCCGGGCGCTCCTGAAATCGTCCCTCGTATCGAAAATAAATTTCGGCTCCACGTCGGCTTCACTTACGCAGCGATGGCCTCGCGACGAACCTCAGCACCCAAGTATAAATACGGCACTACCATTTCGCGCAATTTGGCGCGAAACAAGTGACCGCCCCGATGAGGATCGCTCGCGTCATAAGCGCAACGATCGACTTCGTAAAAAGCATTCATCGATCGTTCAGCCGACCGGCGACACGATTTGTCACCGCGAGTTACCGCGCATTACCGAGTTATCTCGCTGCGTCGTTACGTTGGAACAAAGAGCGCGTCACAATTGCAGATTCGCGAGTCTAGATTTGAAAATACTGCGGAGCCGCCCGGCCAGCTGAACGTACCGTTCAGAAACAACACTCATCGGCATTCACACGGCGTATCTATTCGCGAATATATGTATGTGTGTGTGTGTGTGTGTGTGTACGTGTACGTACGCGGCTTAATAAGGAGGGCGCAGAGCGGCGCGCAGAGCCCTAATTAAGTAATTACCGAACGCGATTAATTCGCGGCCGTAACTAATTAGCATCCATCCGCGGCGGCACGAATAATAGCGCGCTTCACTGGGGCAATGGGCCTCCCCCGCCTCCCGCAGCCCCCTTGCCGAGTCGTTCACCAGGTCGTTCCCCCTCCCTCCCACGCCGGCCCGTTCTAATCACATATTAATACGTAAGCCACGCAACAATCGGCACTTGGACGCGCATACTAATCAGTCGGCATTGTTTGTTCTTTCTGTTGCAGCCGGAAGAACGCGATCATTCTCAGGACCCAGCTGTCCGTGAGGGTTCACACCATCATAGGTGAGCACACACCGCCGACGCGAATTCTCCTGATTGAAATCTCGCGACGCGGGCTCCCACGATCCACTTGGACGGATCATCCGCGCGCGAGCGCGAGCGCGCCGATTCCTCGCGCGCTGATTCCTCGACCCTTAACCGGCGGCGGGTCGAGCCTCTCTCGTTCTAGTTACTCGGTCGCCGGTTTCGGTTCACCGGCGACGGTGACCTTCCGCTAACTGTAACGCCGCCGCCGCCGCCGCCGCCGCCGCCGCCGCGAGGCATCGACTTTTGACGATCGCGGACGAAGACGGATGCCGGCGATAGCAAATTTTCCAGGCCGGCTCTTTGTTCGCCGATTCGCATCGCGACACGTCATTTTGCTCGCTGATTTATACGCGGCAGAGATCATTTTCTCTCGCGTGTGATGATACATCGATATAGCCGTCGGCTCGCGTGTTTGTATGTAACAATTTGAATATTTGAGTCTCGCAATCGTGCGAAATTCATTTGCGTCGTTTCCACTGGCCGGCGGTAAATAAACGCGGTGAATAATGCGGCTAATTCGCCATTACCGATTACTGCTTGAATATCCAGGATATTCAATCGTTGCGGAATATAGAAATATAGCGCGGAGCGCGTTCGTCATTAATATCGAGCGACGTGTGTCGTGCGTAAAACTGGATGGATTCTTCATCCGGTCGGATGCCGGCTCGAAACAAAGACCGGAGATCATTCTTCGTCTTCGTCGCCGAGGCAGACAGGTAGCCGCTCCCCCCCTCCCTTAATGTATCGGGAGACCTCGTGAGGACGAAGGTGCGAACGGTAACAGGAAGAACGACTGTACAATTAAATTCACGACGCGTCGTTCTCTCGGCGCGGCGAGACTCGCCGGGCCTGTCTTTTAAAATACACTCCGCGACATAATTAGACAATGTCGCGAACAATGAGCCCCCGTTGTCTGTTGATAATTAGCAAAGTAATGACCGTGCCGCTGAGTGCAGAACGCTGTACCTGCGAAAATCGAGCTAATCCTTTATCGTAGCACCCCGGCCACCATCCATCACTGGCTATGACGGACGGTGCTTAATCACGCAATGTCGAATAAAAACTCCCTCTCCGCCCGTACATTCTTTTTATCCGCGATATTACAAAATTCGTTATTGGACTTGCGACCGATGGCGATCGATACTGCCGATACCCGATACTTCCAGCTAATCGTTTCATTGACAAATGACTCTCACGAGTTTAAGAATTGCGCTTCAAAGCGTCGCGCGCGCTCGATTGTCCGCGGACAATCTGTCGAATATCTCACGCGGGCGGACCGTCTCTTTTCCTGCTTCTTTTCCCCCTTTTTCTCCTTGTCTTCATCGTCGTCGTCGTCCAACGCGACCGAATCTACGCGGCGGCGCGTATATTTCCGAGAGGGGAAACACGCGCTCGAAATATAGTAGATGCTGAGTACCGCGGAGAATAAAATTTGCGAGCGATTATGCACGTCGGTTACACCTGCGGGGCCCCGTGTCCTGGTTCATTGAACCCGAAGGCGAAGGCGCTGGTGGAGATGATCGAAGGTACGGAATAAGCGAAAAAAAAAAGAGAGCTCCCAAAAGGGCAGAGGGAGGAGCGGAAGCCGAAGTGGACCGTGCCGTTTTACATATTTTAACGGTTCTTCGTGTACCTCCGGCCCCCGCGAACTTCGCCCGTCTTTTCTCCTCTTTCTTTTCTCTCCTCTCCTTCTTTTCTTCTCCTTCTGCCCTTCTTCTCCTCTGCTTTCTTCTGCTCGCGAGCCGACGCGCGGCTGCCTTCGACGGAGCAGCAAGTAATAACGATCCCATCTTGGGAAACGTCCCGTATTTTCTCCTTTTTCTCTGCTTTTTTCTCCCTCCCGCTCTCTTCTTATAGCCGGCTACGCGTACAGGCTGCTCGAAATGACGGAGACATCCCGGGAAAGCGATAGGAAACGGGAGCCGATTTCTCCGTAGTGAATTTTATTTGCAAGAGTATTTTATTTATAAGAGAATTCGACAAGAGATACGTGCGTATGCGTGCAGATTTTATCCACCGTTCGTGCAGCGAATAATTATACCGCGCGGAGAAAGAGAAGGAGGAGAAGGAAGAAGAACAATCGCCACCCCCCTCCCCCTCCCCCCGAATTCGTCGTCGAAGAAACCTGCTCCTGAGACGGGAAAAATGACGGCATCGCTGTTGTTATTGCCGGCAAATAACAAGCGGTAATCGCGCGCGATTACATGCTTAATTACGGCGTAATCTCTCTTTGGACGGACGATAAACGCGCGGGAAACTAATCCATTCCGCCGACCACGGACAAACGCACGGATATTTGCTCGGCGTCCAAATCCTAGATCCTTACATTGCCGATGTTATACGTGATACACGACACAAGCGAGGCCTCTTTTGTCGAAAACGCGGCGGGCCATTAGCGCGCCGCGCACCGCTCGCCGTTAATCGCCCGTTATCCTCGACTCGCTCGCGCTCGCGAACCGCGCGCATCGGTGTAACACGCACGCATGTGTGCGTGTATCCGTTTGTGCGAGCGAGCGAGCGAGTGTCGCGCGGCCGTGGAATTTCGCGATTCCATTTCGCTCGAAACTGAACTGGTTAGATCGTACAAATATTCCGACCGGCGGACCGGCCGGCAGGAGTTGAGGTGCGCCGCGAGCACGTTTTCGCGTATCGCGCGCGACGCGGGGAATCAGATTTCGCACACGCCGAGCAACGCGGCAATAGATCGCGTGCTCGGTCGCCCGCGGGAACGGGGCGAAATTGCTCGGCGTATTAGCGGCGAGCGGCGAGTATTTCGGCGGATTAAAAATTCCACCGAGCCGCGGCGGCCCCGATTAACGACGCGCGGCCGTCTCCCGACGGGCCTCCGCCGCGCTTTCGTAACCGAGAGAAGAGAGAAAAAAGGAGCGGTAAAAAAAACTCCACGGGAGCCGAAAAATGTGGGTCAGTGGACCGTCGGTCGCCTCGCGACGCGCTGGAACAAAGCGAATTCGACAAGGCGATCGACCGGAGGCTGATCGTAGCGGGAATGAAATTGAAGAGGATCTCTCCACACACACACACACACACACACACAGAGAGAGAGAGAGAGAGAGAGAGAGAGGAGAGAGAAGAGAGAGGACTCGACAATGGGGCTACTCGCGCGACGAGACGCGCTCGGCGAGCTTGCTCGACAGCGAAAAGAAGATAGCAACGCGCGCGGGGACAGAGAGATCGAGCAAAAAGGGCCGGCGAGGGGGAGCAGGAGGAGGGAGGAAGACGGGGACTTTTGCTTATATGGTCACTGATTACAGAGGGACCAAGGGCCGCAGGGCCTTGGGACCGCTATTCTTAGAAGAGACGCGTCGCTCGTTCTCTCTTCCTCGCCGTCATCCTTCTCCTCGACTCGACTTCGCGTACCCTGCAGCGAGCTCCTAATTACCTTTGCTTGCATATCTCCCCTCTTTCTCCCGCTCGCTCGTTCTTCCCGTTGCTCCTCTCTCGCGGCCGTCTCCTCTCTTTTTCTCGCTCTCTCGTTCTGTCTGTGCTCCCTCCTTGCTCCCCCTCACTCTCTCTCTCTCTCTCTCTCTCTCTCTCTCTCTCTCTCTCTCTCTCTCTCTCTCTCTGTCCCGCATGCATTATGCATTTGAAGATCGCGTGATAGTCGTGGATTATGCGGTCGCGCACTCCTTTTCCGCGAAAGAAATGGCGAATTGGGCTCGCCAGGCCCACGAACCGTGACTGGGCCGAGCGAGAGGAGACGAGATCATATAAAAAAAGAAAAGAAAATGCGACCGCGAGAAACGACGGCTTACGTTTGCACTTGAACGACCGTCTCTCATTGTCGGTCGCGTCGCGCACGATGGCGCAAATGTCGAAACGGCGGCTACGAGACGCGCGGTTTCATTGAACCGACAGATACTTGGTAACGGAGGATCGTCCCGTCGAACGCTGTCGAGTTGACGGTGGAAAATGCGGATGATTTAAATATCGCGTTATTAGTGTGTGTGTGTGTGTGTGTGTGTGTGTGTGTGAGGCCACATTGTCGTGCAGCTCATACGGAAATACGAAACCGAGGATAAATGAATTTCGCTTATCATCGACTTCTCATCTTCACGCAGACGAAAACTGCATTTCGCGTATAATACATCGCGCCGACACGTTCGAATCCCCCCCCCCCTCCCTCCTCTGCCCCCTCTCTCACTCTTTCATCACGTACAATCGCGCTCACTTTTCTCTCGCTCTTTCTCTCTCTCTCATCCTCTCGTCCCGTTCCACGTTCCCGGCTCCGCCGCTACGGTCGCCTTTTGTTCCCGGCAGAATTGCCGTCGCATATTTTCGCGGTGTATTTGCGTTTCTCCGTTATCGCGTATGATAACGCCCACCACTATATTCGTTTCCCCGTTTTCGCCGTGCCTGACAAACTCGCCCGGCCGCCAAGTTCCGCGGCAGCGGCGGGAAATCTCGGCGCGGCCGGCAAATTGAATTTGCCGTGCCGTGCCGTGCCGTGCCGTGCCGCTGGTGAAATGGAATTCAATTATTAGTAATACGGGACGATAGAGTCGCGGGACACACACGACCGCGGAAGAAGAGATCGCGGCGTGGCAACGCGGCGAGAAACAAGGACGGAAACGGCTCCGGGGCGCGCCGGAGACATCGACCGGGAATTCGGCGTGCAAAATTGATCAGACTTAATTACGAGCCTCTGTTTAATTGCACGGCCGCTGTTTGCCGGATAAACAAGCCCGCTCCGGAGAGAGGGAAGAGTCAAACGACGCGCTGCTCAATGGAATCATTAAACCCCGTGAGAGCTGGTTGGATGTGTTTCACGGTGCCGGAATTCACGGTGCGTTGCGTGTATTGCGTCCGCGCGATATCGATTCCCGCTCGACGACGAGAGGAACCGCGCGCGCACGAAGAATAAATAATAAAAGTGTCCCCCGTACCCGATGAGAGAGTTCCAGACCTCGTCATTATAGGACACGCTGGAAAAAACCGCTCGGGAAGACGGGAGTGCGAAACCCGACCGCGAGACCGAATTCTCGAGGACGGTCTTCGCGGGGAAGATCGCGGTGGAAATCGCGTCTCGTCGGCAAAAAACTCGGATGTTCAATTTTTCACACTCTTACCCGCTTTCGTAGCGAAATCGCGCCGAAATCGTACCGAAGCTAAGCGCTTCGTTACTCCGCTGCGATCATCATCAATTTGCCCTCGTCCGCGGGATCGACATCGGTATCCCATCAATATCCCGTTGTTTCCGTTCGGTGATACTAAAATTAGTCTCCGCGGAGACGGAGGAGCCCGGTCCCGCCTGAGGGCTCGATTCAATAATCTCACGGCAATTTATATCAAATTAACAGTATATATATATACATGTATATATATAAGAGAGCGCTCTCGTGCGCGCGCGCGCACACATACACGCACATCCATGCGGAATCGACGTGGTGGTGGTGATGGTAAAAGAGACCGAGAGAGCCATGGCGAACGCGGTCTCTTCATTACGGCGCGCTTTAAGTACCATGATCTGAAAACAGGCCCCCTCGCAGACAGCCCCTCCCGCCCCTCCCGCGTCCGTTCGCAACAATGCGCGCGCCCACGACGACGGCGTGGCGCCCCCTGCCCCCCGCCCCTCCCCGCGCGGTATTATTATAATAAATGGTTACGTGTTGTGCTTGTCTGTTGCAGAAAAATTGCTGAACAGCGAAGGCCGCGAGCTGCGACGGGCCCTCTTCTCCCTCAAGCAGATCTTTCAGGTGAGTTCACAATTCGCAATACTATAGCGCGCGCGCGACTGAGGCGAGAAAGAATGGACGGATGGTGGGGCTCGTGAGCGAATATTTTTACACGAAGCCACTCGGCCGACGAGTAAATATTTGCACGGCGGTGTAGCGGCGCGCGAGTGCATTTTCTGCCCGTGCCCCCTTCCCTTCCCTCCCCGCCCCCACCCTGACGTCTCACCACGAAGATGAGTAATTTCTCCTCTCCCTTTCTATCTTGTCTCGTTGCCCCCGCCCCGTTTCAAATTCTTTTTCCCTGCGGGAAAGTCGGGGCGGAAGCGGGCGGGAGTGAAACTTTTAATTAAACACGTTGCGGTTTCGGCTCATTAACCGCGTCTATAAGTTACGCTGAAATAACGCGACGGCGTCAGGTTGCGCCGAGTTTGCAGCGTCGCGCTAATCGTAACCGAGCGATTAGCCGAAGGAAAGCGCGACGTCTCTCCTCGGACTCCTCCTCGCGGATTGTCTCCGAGCGCGATTCGCCTTATTTTCCAAACGAGGCGCGCCGATGCAGCGTCGACGAGATCGCGCCAATGCAGGATCTCGAAGGTCCTTTTACTCACCGGCGCAACTTTCGTCATTCCGTCGCTGACGTGACTCGGCTGCGAGAAGCACTCCGTTATTAAATTCGACAGTTACGAATTCGCCGAGCGCCCGGGACGTCGCTTCTCATTATCGGATAACGATTTTACTTTCGGCCAACTTTCCTCCTCCCTGACCTGCCCCCTCCCCCCCTCCGCCGCGGCGAGCGGGCCGCTTTCATCCGCCGAGCGGTTTTCTTCCGTCCACCGTATTATCGCCCCTTCGCTCCGGCGGAAAATCGCGGTTTTCCGATAATGACGGCCGACTCGCAGGCGCACCGCCTGTCATTTTCCTCGTTGGGGCTATTCGCAACTGCCTATTTAGTCGCTTCATTCCGACTCGCGTGTGTCGACTCGCTTGCGAGCGATAATAAGTAACTCGCTCGCCGACGCGCTCTGCCCGTTGTCTCTCTTCTCGTCTCCCCGTCCCACCCCCTCTTCCTCTCGCGTCCCGCCCCTTTCACCGTCGGCGCTTTCGCGAGTGAGGGCCGAAATTATCGGAAGCGCCCAGCTTCACTTCTCCCTCGTGTTGGCGCGAGTTAATTAAATCCGCGTTTAACGATCCCACCCCTCTCGCCGATTCCCCCCGCCGCGGCTTTCAGCGCCTTCGCCACGCGTCTCCCTCCCGCATTTTTGCCGCGTATCCTCCGCGCGCACCCCCTCCCTCCCCCCCTCCCCCCCCACCACGGCTCTACAGACCTTGAAGAGCTAATCGAGTTTACCGAACCGCGCGAATCAGACGCACATCCGATCTGACTCGCACCGTTCACTCGCCGCCGTTCCCATAACGACTTTCCGAAACTCCGTTGGTGCCGCGAGCGCGACTCTTCCCTCGCTCGCGTTCTTTGTCCCGCCGCGCCGCTCGCTCGCTCGCTCGGCCAATGCCAGGGGAGTTTCTCACCCTGTCGGCGGCGAGAAGGTGCGTCGCTACGAGTCCAATTTCGTTTCTTAATCCACCCGGCTAATCGAGTCTACGTCGCACCTAAGTCCCGTGTAAACTTCCGTCGCTTCGGGACAAGCGCGAGACGAGAGCGAAGGGGCGCGCGCGCGCGCGTGTGAGAGAGAGAGAGAGAGAGGGAGGGAGGGAGAGGAACCCTGAGAGAATGCCGAGGCGAAGCGCGCGAGCTGGAGAAGTCCGACGAGATCTCGCGAGCGGGCCACGACGCCGGCGTCGCGGCGCGGCGCGGCGCGGCGCGGCGCCCTGGAAAGCGAGGGGGTTTAATCAAACTTGGTAGATTTTCCATTATGCCCGCGACTTTGCGCCCGGAGCGGCATAACTAATTCCATTTAGCCCCGACTCTCGTGCGCGCGCGCGCGCGCGCGGTAGGGGAGTCGAGCTTAGGTGGTAATGTAAAGGTAAATCACGCTTCGTCGTGACGCCGCCGTCAGGATCGAATATCAGCTGGCGCGTTCGTTCCTCCGCATGTTTTCGTCCTCGTCGTCGTTTATCTCAGCCGACTCTCTCTCTCTCTCTCTCTCTCTCTCTCTCTCTCTCTCTCTCTCTCTCTCTCTCTCTCTCTCTCTCTCTCTCTCTCTCTCTCTCTCTCTCTCTCTCTCTCTCTCTCTCTCTCCTCGGCGGCGGTCGCGTCACGCGCGCTCGGAAAAGTCGGCGGTTCCGCAGATAGATCGCAGATCGACGATTGGCACTTTGGGAAAAAAAACGGTTCGAGCGCAGGAGCGATGAAAGCGCGACAAGCGCGAATGTTAAGCGCGGAGAAAGCGCTGCCGAAGCCAGCTGTTTTCGTCGCGGGAAGTCGCTCGTGATGAAGATTTCGTCCGAGCAAGGTTCGACTATACTTTCGCCTCGGAATATTTATTACAAGCGCGCGACGCGCAGACGTTCGGAACGTTCGGCGCGATAATTCTCCGGGTCGTGCGTGCTAAAAGCCGGCCCCTCCCTCCCTCCCTCCCTCCTGGTCGCTCTGATCGAATTAAGAAGCGCGTCTGGCTGCTGCTACTGCGAACGCATCATCCGGCTGTTCAGCGCGAGAGGAGAGCACTCTCGCAAAATGCAATAGCTCCGTTTAGCACGTCGGCGCGGATTAACTTTGTCGCCGCTTTACGTCATAATCAGGTCGGCTTATCGCGAATATCAATTTTCTAGGAGGACAAGGACCTGGTGCACGAGTTCGTGCAAAATGACGGACTCGCCTGCCTCATCAAAGTCAGCAGCGAGGCCGATCAGAACTACCAAAATTACATATTACGAGGTGAGTACTCCATTCTGCCGGGCGTCGTAAAACCGAGGGGTAAAGTGCTCCTCCGCGCACCTTTGCCTCTCCTTGCCCCCTCCGCCTCCTCTTCCCGTCCCTCTAATGCCAAAGTCCCGCTCGATAGAGAGAGAGAGAGAGAGAGAGAGAGAGAGAGAGAGAGAGAGAGAGAGAGAGCGGGTCTACATCCTTTCGTCGCGCAAACCATTCCCCCTTACTATTACCGGCGAAACCATCACTTACCTAAAATCGAACTTGAATCTCTCGGGCGTGAGAGTTCAGGACCCGAACGATCTCGCCGATAATACCCGCGAAAATCGTCATGGCGGACCAATTCCTACCTAGGACGACGAGCGTGTTCCGTAACTTTCTCGCGATTACTTGACTCTTAATGCTCTGCGGCCGAGAGTCGAGCGCAGGAAACAAATCGGTATCCACGGACGACGACTGACTGTCCTCGATTAAAGGGGAAAAAGAGAGTGACAGACTGTAGTTCGCTAAAATTTCACCGGTTGCCAATTAATTTTCACGTCTCGAAAATGACCGTCGCGGCGGATCACCGCGCTGGGACTCGCAACGCTGCGGACGATTATTCCGTAACTTCTACGATAGCGGCGACAGACGGTGGGAAAGTCGTATCGTAAACGGCCCCGCAAATTGAGTTAAGGGAACGAGACGCGACCTTGCAGCGTGCGCGCCGAGATTTCGCGCGTGGTGGGACGCTGGAACGAGAATGTCATGCGCTCTCTCTCTCTCTCTCTCTCTCTCTCTCGAGTTTGCCTATCTTCCTCTCGTCCGCCGCAAATCTCGCGCGGGTAATGATAAGATAATACCGGGCGTAATGCAGCCGGCGTTTAACGAGCGCGCGGCATCAAGCAGCGCGCTTCTCGTCTTCGCGGTTCCGAGAAGGACGACGACGACGACAAGCGTGACGACGACGGCGACGGCGACGGCGACGGCGACGGCGGCGATGTCACCGTCTGAGAGAGAAACAGAAGAGAGCTCGAGGTGACGTCGAGTATTAACGCGTCGCGGCGTTTGCGAAACCGTCGACACGCGAAGGCTCACGACGGCGTGCGACTACCACTCGTCAAACCGCGATGCGTCGCGAATTATGAATAGCGCCCTTTGATCGCGCGCGCAACTTGCGAGTGCAACGTCGCGACTCGAGATGTGCTCTCGCCACGCTCTCCGTGAACCGTCGTCGTCGTCGTCGTTGCGTCGGCTCGAACGCGATAATTCCACCTCATGATCCTGCAATGCGTTCCTCTCCCCGTCTCCTGCTCGCGCGAGCTTATCACACGGCCATGAGACGGCTCGCGAAATTCGCAACTGAGAATTTAGGATGAGCGACGTTGAAACGGTCGGCTCTGCCGACAATCGATCGCTCATTTCCCTTCTCTGCTTGTCGTCACATTTTCGTCCAATTTCCCTCTCTCTCTCTCTCTCTCTCTCTCTCTCTCTCTCTCTCTCTCTCTCTCTCTCTCTCCTGCTTTCTGCTATTAATGATCGCGGGGTTTACGCTGGCCAAGTCGTTAAAATTCGTTTGCTCGTGTGAATAACGAGAGCCAGCTTTTCTCTCTCTCTCTCTCTCTCTCTCTCTCTCTCTCTCATCCTCTTTCTCTCTCTGATTGCGGGCACAATCGGCTTGTGATAGATTCTTCGTGCGGTTTGCGCGGCCCGCACGCAAATGGCACCGGCACGCGAAACACGCTCGCGCTCGCGCCGCATTTTGCGATCCATTCGGAGATTATGTCCCACTGTAACGCGCCAGTAATATGCTGCAGCGCACGTTCGATACTCAATGATTACGCGTGATGCGATCTACATCCGATCCTCCTAATTAGATTCCGCGTCGTAACTTATGGCCCGTGTAATGATAACGGCTGGATTAACGTTCGCCGGTGGAACGTGCTTAAATCGCTTTACGATCATTGTCATTGCCGGCACGAATGTGTCGGCTGATACGGCGCGCGGGATTGCGCGAACATACCGGAATTTTGATGGTATTATAACGGGGAACCGGTGCATGTACACACGTGCCTATGTGTGTGTGTGTGTGTGTGTGTGTATTTACATGCATATAGTTACGTTTCCGCCGAGATTAAAGCGCTCGATCACTCGCGCTCGATCGCCGATACGGCGTCAAGTTTGCGCTGGTCAAACATTGAATTTCACGTTTTCGAGCACCTACAGTCAGAATAATAATCACGATAACAATTATAACGAGAATAATAATAGTAAGAGAAAATCGCGAATTTGTAATTGATATTATTTTCGACGTCCATTTATACGCGCGGCTTTAATTCGCGCACTCGGAACAAACATTGTCAACGTGCTCGCGAGCGAGATCGATATCGGCGCGGCGGGATTGTGCGTATATGGGACAGTCGGCCGCGCGCCGCGACGATGGCCTCCGTCACAGATTTGATTTCGCGCAAACACGCGCGTAATTGGCTCGCTTCATTTACGATTTCGTTGGCGCGACGTCGCTCGCTCAATTGATTCGCACATTGCGCGAAATCTCGCTCGACCGTTGTGTTGTCGGCGAACTTTTTTCTTTCCGTTTCAATGGCCAGCCGATAAAAGGAACACGGACTTTGGGGTTATTGTTGTCCGTCCCCCCTCCTTCCCTCTCCTTTATTTCCTATCGCTTCTAATTGATTTCGATCGAGGAGACTTTTATTCGCGACGCGCGCGCGCGCGCGCTCGCGAACGCTCTTCTCCTGTTCATTTTTCACTCGTGTTTTACACACCGAGCACGCCGTAATTTATTTAGAGCACAACGAGCGGAGCTCTCGTCGCAACATGCGATTTTAAGCGGCAACGTGCGAGCGCGAGCACGTTTTTCGGCGTAATTCTATGTCTATGGATAAAGCCCAAGTGAACCTACGACCGCGATCGACGGAATTTGCACGTTAAATTTCAGCGCGCCCGCGATACACACGGACGTGTCGGAAATCAGTTTGGTAAACAACCAAGCGGCATGGAGTTAGAAGAAAAAAAATAGAGAAAACGCGTGCGCGCACGCGAGAGAAAGAGAGAGAGAGGGGAGAAAAAAATAGGCAACGTCGCGTTCCGGATCGGGGCAGAGATTGATGGGTTTCGCGCCGCTCGGATACACGTTGCAACGAACGCAAAGGTGATGCGATTTTTCGTTGCGCGTCTATATCGGGCGGTATCGTCGTCATCCGCCGGCCCTTTTGTTTGTATTTTCGCGCGAGACATGAGAAAAAAAAATAATAATAGCATGATGCTGCAGCGGGGATTAAAGGGCGACGATAAATGACGGACACGTTCGGTGGGGGACGGTGAGGCCCGAGAGAGAGAGAGAGAGAGAGAGAGAGAGAGAGAGAGAGAGAGAGAGGTATAGAGAGAGAGAGAGAGAGAGATATAGAGAGAGAGAGAGAGAGAGAGAGAGAGAGAGAGAGAGAGAGAGAGAGAGAGAGAGAGAGAGAGAGAGAGAGAGAGAGAGAGAGGGACAGCGATCACGGAGAATATGAAAATATGCGAGTGCTCTCGCGCCACGAGAGAGATCCCACCTTGCGAAGCACGCGGAAACGGGCAGTTCGAACGTGGGTTATTTATTTCTCGAGAGTCTCGCCGTCTCACGCGTTCTCGCCGTGAGAACATTCGGCGATTATTTAAATGTTTTGTGTCGCTTACTCGTCCCGCACGTACAATCGAGCGCGTCCGTGTTGTTCGCAGGCAGCGGTGGAAATGATCCGCCCGCGCCGGTGGGAGAAAGAGACTAGGAGAGAGAGAGAGAGAGAGAGAGAGAGAGTGAGAGAGAGAAAGGGGGCCAGGGGGCAGGGGGGCATGGTGGAAAGTGGGTGCATTTACGAACAACGGCCAAAGGCTTGTTTCTCCTTGGCGCGCGCGATTGTCCGGAACTATCTCGCCCGGCGCGCGTTTAATCTCGCGACTCGTTTGCATTCATGCAGCACTCGGCCAGGTGATGCTGTACGTCGACGGCATGAACGGGGTGATGGAACACGGGCAGACGGTGGAATGGCTGTATACGTTAATTGCCAGCCGTTTTCGGCTGGTGGTGAAGACGGCGCTGAAGCTGCTACTCGTGTTCGTGGAATACGTGGAAACAAACAGCCTGCTGCTGGTCAGAGCCGTGCGGGCGGTGGACACCGCCCGCGGCATGATACCGTGGATTAACGTGATGAAGCTCCTGAAGGATTACGACGCCGCCGACACCGAGCTGCTCATCTACGCGACCACGTTGGTCAACAAGTGCCTGAACGGCATCCCCGATCAGGACACCTACTACGATCAGGTGGACTGCCTCGAGGAGCAGGGCATGGAGGGTGTTATCCAGAGGTACATGTCGAAGCAGGGCACGGATCTCGACCTGCTCAGGCAGTTTCAGATCTACGAGGCGGTGTTGCATCACGAGGACGGCGACAGGGGCTCGCCGATTCGTCAATTGGACGACAATATCAGGTGAGAATGACGTGAACGAGAGAGAGAGAGAGAGAGAGAGAGAGAGAGAGAATCGCGTTCCGTCTCGCCTTCTCGCCTGCGGTGGACGTTAAAAATCGACACTCTCATTGCACCGAGCTGAGCACTATGAGAATCGCGCTTTTGGAAAATCCATCGTCCCCGGTTCGAGAGAGAAATTCGTAGCCGTCGAGGCGGCTCGCGGCGGGCACAAAAGACTGTTGTATTCTTGGTTCTCGGACGAACCGAAAATCGGAAACGAACGCAGGAGAGTATCGCGTGTACATGCTTGAGGTTGCGAGATTCCAACTCGCGATCGCGCGCCGAGTGAATTCGACGAGAACGATATTTCCCGTTCACTTTACAGGAAGACCCTGCGGAATCGGAAGTCTCTGGTGGACTCTCACGAGCGACGCAAGTCCCGGAGGCACTCGACCGGCACCTCGCCCTTGTCGATGTCTCTGAACGCGCGTCTGAGCCCGCGGCTGAACCATACTCTGGGCGTGAGTTCGCTCAACAGCACCTTGAACTCGAGCCTGCCGGACGACGACGACGAATCGAGCAGCTCTCAGAGTTCCCATGGCCATCTGGGTGAGGTTCAGCTTAATGGCAGCTACAAGGAGAATAAAGGTAATTATCTTCCCTCGGCGCTCGCGCTCGCCAGCTGAAAAATCCCTATTGCAAATCGGGAGGAGCGTGACGCGATATTCCGACGCAGCTCTTAACTCTCTCTCTCTTTCTCTCTCCTCTCTCTCTCTCTCTCTCTCTCTCTCTCTCTCTCTCTCTATCTCTATCTCTCTCTATCTCTATCTCTATCTCTCTCGGCGGCGAGATGTGCCTCTCTCTTTTTCTTTTCTCCTCCCCGCTTGATAATCGCGTTCTCTTTACTCACGGGAGTATCGCGGCTGTCTCGCCTTCTCTCCCCCTCGTTATTCTCCCGCTGCATTTTTGCACAGCGTTTTCTTTTCTCTTTCTTTTCCTTTTGCTTCTTCTTTTCTTTCATCGGCCGACGATCCGCTGAATGAGCGGACTCGCCGCGCCGCGACGCGAGTCGGCAATTAAATTTTCGGGATTCTTTTACGGGCGACCTGAACTGGCGCGCGTCCGTCAATCGATCCGTTTGCAATTCGACTGCATGATGAATGCGAACTTGAACGCCCACGGAGCACGAATTCCGCACCGGCGGCGAATTCCCGCAGCCGCCGAGACCTCGTGCTTTTCAATTCATCGGCGACACGCCACGCGGTCAGCATAAATGTTTCATCACGCGCCGCGTGCACGGTAGACCCGAGCGCGACGTTCCATATCGCGTTCCATAAGTCGGCAATTTTTCCCCTCTCGCGAGGAACGCGGCATCATTGTCGCTCGTAACATCCCCCCCCCCTCCCCCACAACAGAAAGAATCGGATCGCGATGGCACGTGTTATCTCGCCACGACGAGACAGATTATATCCGCAAAGTCTCGCGCGCGCGTCGGCTCGGGGAGGAAAGTTCAGTTGAATGTAGCGTTGAACAATCTGTCCGGGAGACGCTTAGTTTCGCAGTACGACACGGCGAATTTGCATGTGCGAGACGCGCGCGCCAAGTTGCGCGGCCGAGATTCGTTTGAACGGAGGCGGCAGCACCGCTCCGCGTGTTTCAGTGGACGTTGGCGTGACACCGGCGCTCAGACGACGACGAGAACGCGCGGAGAGACAGAGGAGCTTCATTAGAGAGCAACAAGAGGCTACCGCAAACATGAGGGCTTCGATCGGTCACACCGACGATCAGGAAAGTGAGTGCCGGCCGCCGAGGCCGCAGACCGTTTAATTGCCGCACGCGCGACGGCGCGGGCGCGGCGCTTTGCGCTGCGAGAATGCCCGGCATTCGTTTTCCGCCGCGCGAAGCTCAAGTTCCGCCGATCCGGCGATGCGAGATGCGACTCGCACTCGAGTAAACGCTCCCGCGTTTAATCCCTTAACGTACAAGCAGGGTTGGGAAAGTTACTTCGTAAAAGTAACCAGTTACAGTTGCAGTTACAGTTTTCTTCACTGAAAAAGTAACTAGTCACAGTTACAAGTTAATGACTTTCAAAAGTAACATGTCACAGTTTACACAGGTTACTTAAACAGTAACGAGTCGTTACTTCCCAGTTACTTTTCTACAATTAATGTGCTATTACTTTAAATTTCGCGATTGTGCAAATTTCAAATTAATTTAAATTATTTATTACCTTGGTTGATTGTACTTTATTATGAGTGTTACACATTACAATGTTACTTTATTACGTATAAATATATTGTATAATGAATAATACTTCGAACACTTCCGCATATGCTGGCCATGGCATTTTAAAATCCTTTTCTAACGATCGCGATGTCTCGTCCATTGCTTCAATTTTTAAGTAACTGGAACCACGCAGTGTACTTCACGCTAAACGCAGGTTATGTTAACGACTAAGGACTGGCGACGCGCGACGGAAATGTCCAATAGGAATATAATTTTTTTAAAGGAATACCGATTGCGTTCGAGGAGGAGACTGTCAGCGCTATTGCGCGTCTTTTTACATCCTTGTTTTACATCCAATGAGTGATAAAGATAGATGGCGCGCAATAGCACGCTTTCCGAACGCAGCTAGAATAACTAATGCTCATTGGATATCGAGCATCGCACGTAGCATTATCATGCTACCCACAGATGTTTATACTACAGACATTTGTGGTACTACCAGAAACTTAGGTTTGAAATATATAAAGTAACTATTAAAGTTAAAATTACTATTAAATTAGTTACTGGTTACCAAATAAATGTAACTAAGTTAAGTTACAGTTACAGATGGAAAAATGGAACGAAGTTAAGTTATAATTGCTAAAAAAAAAAGTAACTGTAACTGTAACTTCGTTACAAGTAACGAGTTACTTCCCAACCTTGCGTACAAGTATAAGTGAAATAAGACTCGTGTAAGGTCGTGTGCTAAATGGTTAGAAGCAAAATTACATAATGTATCTTCTCTGCAATCTGTAAAAACATATAATTATATTCCGGTAATATTTGTTTTATTAGAGACGCTAAAAAGTGAAAACAATAATCAGCGTATAATTCTTGGCGTCTCGGAGGCGTCAACCTGTGTCTAGTTGTGACGTCTTCCAGACGTTTTTCTACGTCAAGGGGTTAATCCGCGGGGTCTATTCGTGAAATATTGGGGAGTTTTTGCAATACCGTCACTCAGATACGGCAAACGGTAAATCGTGGATGCTATTGGCCGTGGATGCATTGCGACGTTATTTCTGAGCGAATAACGCGAGCACGATTTACGTTTACCGTATCTGAGAGACGGTATCGCAAAAACCCCCCTATTATAAAGCGGCGCGCCCGCGTTGATTGAAATCGCCACGGTGAGAGCAGCGGCGCGTTCGATGTCCGAGTAAAATTTTCTCCTCTCTCGTTGACGAGCGGACTCGCGTAATTTCCGAGTTGGAACGAGACCGGCCGCGTGTCGCTGGACGCGCGCTCCTGCCATTGAAGTAAGCGCTTCCTGTTTTCTCCGCCGTTAAAGGTCAGTTTCCGTCGAACAGTCTGCGATACACAAACGGCACCTCTTACGAGAGAAACGCCGATTCCCCCTCGAACAAGTTGTCCAGAACGAACAGCAGGAAGGACTTGACGCCCTTGATGAATGCCGCGAACAAGCTCGACTCGGAGGAGAAGAAGCCGTGGTACGGCAAGAGTCCCAGCGAAGGTGTCGAGTACGGCGAGAGTAATCACACCGACGACGAGGACGAGGATCGTCGAGTGCTGCTACAGCCTAAGAGGGAAGGCACCGTCAAGGATCTCACGCAGAAGTTGGCGGCGCAGAATCTTATACCGAGCAGTCCCGTGGAGGAGAAAGTTTCCAGGTAATTTCGGCAAAAGGCGCGCAGTCCTCGTCGCCGGCTATGCCTCCCCGATTCACTCACTCTCGCGCGTCCTCTCCTCTCCATGCGCGTTTCAACGCGCGAAATATACCGGCAGCGAGATTGCCGAATTGTAACACGATTCCGCGGAACGGGGCCGATTGCAATCTAACGTAAACACATCTAGCGATTTTGTTTTTCTTTTTTTTTTTTCCACAAAGAGGAGCAGACATCGGAGGCTCTGAGGGCAGCTAGCGAGCAACACCAACGAGCATGGGTGCGTCCTACGCGGAGGAAAATGTTTGGTCGAAGCAACTTTCCGGTGAAGTCTGAACGATACAGAAATCCCGGCTGGAGTTGTCGGAATTCGGTGGGATCAAGGGTCAAGGATTCCTCAACTTGAACGGAACTCTGATATTTCCAGCCGGCATTTCTGAACCGTTCAGTCACGAGACGGGAGAATGATCGGACCGGTATTCAATCGAGCCTTCTCCTCCGTGTGATAAAAACCTCAACGGGAGAAACACGCATCCTTCGTTCCTTCCTCCCGCCCGCCGCCCCCCCCCCCCGCCCGACATCAACGAAAGTACCGCGCGCGCACAACTTGTACAAAGCAGCATTTGCCGCGCGTGCGCACACAGGATAGGCGACATCAGCGGGCTGATCTCGAAGGCGAAGGAAGGTCTGGCCAAGTCCAAGTCGAAGGCTGACGTGCTGAAGTCGCCAACCGGCGACAACCTGCCGAAGCTTCAGGAGACGAAGAAGTCCGAGAACGAGCTACACTGGGAAGAGCTCGTGAAGAAGCTGAAGCGGCCGCTCGCGCTCTGCGATCTCGACTTCACCGACCTCAATTCCGACGACGAGATCGACGTGCTGGGTTCGGCCAACGTCGCGAACGGCGTGCCGCCGCCACCGCCGCCGCCGATGGCGCCTCCGTGCGGAGACGCGAGGGCGCCGCCGCCGCCGCCGTTGAGCGCGAGACTACCGCCGCCGCCGCTTCCTCAGGGCCCGCCGCCGCCGCAGCTGTTCGGCGTAAACCTGAAGATGTCGAGGTCGTCGTTAGTCAACGAGACCGGCGGCGGCGGCGGTGGCGGCGGCAGTAGCTGTCCGCCCAAGAGCCCGCCGTCGTTGATCGCCAAGAAGAGCAAGAAAACGGTGAAGCTGTTCTGGAAGGAGGTGCGGGACGACCCGAACATCCTCGCGCGGCTCGACAAACACAAGATGATCTGGGACGAGCTGACGCCCGTGGCGGTTGACACGCAGAAGCTCGAGCACCTCTTCGAGAGCCGAGCCAAGGATCTCATCACCAAGGTGAGCGCGAGTTTCCACACACTTTTCCCGTCGATTCGACGTCGTCGCGCGAGTCGTCATTGCCGTCTCGTACAAACTCGCTCCCAAAAAAGGCACGACGTAATAAAGGGAAGGACGCTCTCTCAAACCGAGTCGCGGCAGCTCTCGCCGCGACTCGCCGCTCGAGGAGACGGTACACACACACACACACACACACACACACACACCGAGTGAGCGGGCGCGCGGCGTTTTTAAACGAGCGCAAACGGAGAAACCTCATCTCACCACGTTATTTATTCATTTGCACGAGCCTCCCTCGCTCTCTCGGAGCGAGCGCGCTGCGCTATCGCTGATGCATCGTCGAGTTGATTGGTCCGGCGCTGGTCCGGGGCCCGGAGCTCGTGACAAACGAGCGGCCGTACCGATGCGAGAGTCGCACACTACCACCCCGGCTGGGAAAGACGTCGGCGGTGACGTTCAATGATGGATTAAAGCACGAGCCGTCGCCTGTTCCAGCGCACGATTCGCTCGCTCCAGTTAGCCCGACGCGTGCTTCCTCTTCGCCTCGGTTCAAATCAGGCGTTTCGCGAGTGGCGAAACGGTCGTCTCTTGGCTGAGTCGCGGCCGTTTGTACCTCCTCGCGGCGCCGAAGGTCCAACTCTCCAAAGCTGCGCTCTCGTTAGCATGCAGATTCTGCGCGCGCGAGCGCGCTCTGCCCGGTTCGATTTTGACTTTCAACCACCGCAGGCCTACATATACGCCTTGTATCTTTTATTTATTTATCGTGTTTATCGTGATTTTTCGATGTACTTATTCTTATTTTCACTTTTTATTCACTACGATGTACTTAGCGCTTCATACGAAGCGCGTGAATTACTCGAGCTTCGGTGACGCAGCAAGCGAATACGCGGCGGACGATTCTGCGTTGAAGTCGCAGCTAGAAGGTTCTAAAGGGGATCGTGCGCCTCGCCATCGTCGCGCTCGACGATGATATTGAGGGTAGGGATAGGCCGATTTTAAATCGAAGATCGATTAATCGAAGCCCAAAGAATCGATTTCAAATCGATTTTCTGCTACTGAATCGATTCAAGGATCGATCTGTAAATTCTGAAAATCGCCAACACGATCTTTTCAGTTTCTACTAGTAATATAGTTTTTTTGTTTTTTTTTCATTTCTTTTTAGTTGTAATATTTGAACTCACTTAATGGCTGCACGATGCACATTACGTTGCCTTTAGGCCGATGTCCCATGGGCGAAAATTTTCAGCGGGACGGAACGCGCGAAGCGAACACAGCCACTCCATATAATATTGGGTTGGCAACTAAGTGATTGCGGATTTTGTCGACAGATGGATTTTACACTTTCTTTTGTTTCGTTAACGTGTTCAAAGTACCTAACCTATATTTTTTTCTTATTGTTTGGACTTCTACCTTTCATTTAGTACAAAAATTATATCGATCAGTTGTTTAGTTTTGTTTTTATCCCAATTTAAAAATGGAAGAGCAAGACGTGCACTTAAGACATATTTTATTGTATTATTTCCGAAAAGGCAAGAACGCATCGCAAGCACACAAGAAGTTATGTGACGTATATGGGAATGAAGCCTTGAAAGAAAGGCAGTGTCAAAATTGGTTTGCCAGATTTCGTTCTGGTGATTTTTCATTGAAAAATGCTCAACGATCTGGCCGTCCAGTTGAAGTCGATGAGACCCATATCAAGGCCATTATCGATTCAGATCGTCATAGCACACGTGATATTGCAGAGAAGCTCAATGTATCGCATACATTGAAAAAAATTTAAAAAAGCAAATTTAAAATTTTGAATTTTCATTCTTATTTAAAATCCGCAATCACTTAGTTGCCAACCCAATAGTATATATTATATACGTATGTAACACGTCACTCAATAAGTTCGTAGAATGACATATAAATGGCGCTACTATTGACAAATCCATATGATTTTTAGGAAGTACTAACCTTGTAAAAATGGCACGTGTCAAAATTTCATGACAATCGGACGTTTAGTTCACAAGTTACAGTGGTTTTAGTGACGCACGACGTCGACTCGTTTTAGCAACGCGTCGACGATTCAGCGGGCTGTTTGGAGCTGTTTCAGCGCAATAAAAAGAATTTTTCGATGCGGTATGTGGACAATGGATGAAACATGGATCCATCACTACACTCCAGAGTCAAATCGGCAGGGAAAGCTCCAGGGGAAGAGATTTGGCTCCAATGAAGAAGTGATTGCCGAAACTTAAGCCTTGCTAAAACGAGTCGACGTCGCGCGTCGCTAAAACCACTGTGACTTGTGAACTAACGTGAAACGTCCGATTGTCATGAAATTTTGACACGTATCATTTTTACAAGGTTGGTACTTCCTAAAAATCATGTGGATTTGTCAATAGTAGCGCCATTTATATGTCATCCTACGAACTTATTGAGTGACGTGTTATATGCATATAATAGTAAAGAATAAAGTTATTTAATAACGTTTAAAAACCCTTGATTGATGTTTAATCAAACTAATTAAATCCTTAGCATAAAGATTTAAAGATCTCTTTCTATCTTGCTGTGGCCGCACACAACACACAACCGAAAGAGTGCTTTCTGTTTAATTCCTTTAATTCATATTAAACTTTATATGAATTACACGAGGTCTACTTTAGAGTGTAGAAATTTGACAGACGGTATACTTTAATGAGTGGTTCACTTTACATGCATACCGATTCAAATTGATTTTCTGAAATCGATTCTTTACAAACCGATTTTTTTCTTCGTGATTCGAATCGATCTTTAAATCGATAATTTATCTTTAAGTCGACAATTTGAAAAAAAAAATCGGCATCCCTAATTGAGGCTCGGCGGAGATCCGCGGCTGAGAATGAGAATCGGCAAAGTCGCACGCACGCATGTGCACGCCGAGAGACGCGACGTACACGCGTCAACGGAAGAATCAACGACACGTATCACTGGGAGAATGACAGAGATCGCGGACGTGCGCGACAATCTTGTTCTCCCATTTCCTCCCCACGGTTTCTTTTTCTCTCTCGCACGCTCGCGCGGCTGGGAACTGAAAAAACTGCCCGCGACGTTGCGAGCGCTCGCGCGCTGCGGAGGAGCGTGTCGTTAATTACCGCAGTAATTGCGGCTATATCGGTCTCCTCTCGGCGGTACGTTTCGCGTAAAATCGCGCCGGAGAGGCCAGCCGGCGGACGAGCGCGCACTTTTTCGCGCGGCTCACCGAAAGCTGCCGGGAATTATTCTCTCCGTACCGGCCGTTCCCGACGTCGCTCCTCCTCGCACTTTGAACCCGCGTTCTGGCGCGCCGATAATTACAGTCGACCTCGTGGAAAGAAAGGAAAAAAAGCGAAAGGAGGTGGGAAGGGACGAAAGAGAGGAAAAGGGAACCACACAAGTGGCGACGCGCGCTGAGAAGAAAACCGCGAGGCGCCGCCGTCGACGCGACGACGACGAGACGGCCGAGACTGGCGGGGGTGGAGAACGAGCGCGGTGCGAAACGCCGGTAACTCGCCTTCGACACGACGAATAATGACGTCCGTCGTACGGCCGCTTGCGCCTCGGCAATACGTATCGTAAATCAGAGCCACGCGTTTCGGAGCGGGAAAAAAGGCCGCGGAAATCAGAGGTCGAAGCGCGCCATGGGGGTGGCGACCGTCGCGGTCGGAGGAGGTTAACCCTCTTTAACGCCTACTGGTAACTGTACACTAGGAAAAATGTATTGTTGCGTGAAGCAAAATTTTGTTGCAACAACAAAATAATTTGGTTAAAATATGCCCAAGAAAACTGTTCAGTTCCTGTTGACAAATATCTTGTTTGATTACAGTTTGTTCGTATAACGTAATACTTTTGTTGTAGCAACCGAAAAGCTTCAACCATATGAATTTTGTTAAAAATACTGTTGCGCTCACTCTCGCACTCGCGCTTGCACTCAGGTAAATGAAAACATTCGCGTAAGAATAACAAGTTTTACTATTTACAGCGCAACTCGCTCAAGCTTTGAACAAGAATAATTCTCTGCTCTACAATTCTCGCGTCTGTCTACGATGACAGCTCGCCGGAGATTCTCTGTCAGCTGTCGTTGTTTTCTTCTTATCGATTTTCCGTCGTCCAGACAATCTTCGTTCAGTTGTCAAAATCAGCATCAGATGCCTAAGGCTCACGGACAACGGACGCTGCCACAAACCTTGTGGCTCGGACACAATACTATAATCTTTTCTTAATATATAAAATCTAAATTTTAGCGCATAGAAAGACAAAATAGTATCCATTGGACATTATTTTAGTTTATGTAAAATAATATTTCGTTATTATGTAATTTTTATGGATCAAATAACTAAAATGCTTAATTTTTATACATGAAATCTAAGAACAAAATCATTTGGTCCAGAGAACAAAGCAAAAAAATATATCTAGTTGAGACAATTAAATATTTTGTTATATAAAACAAGATATTTAGTTGCTATTAAAAAATGCCTCAGCTAAACAGTTTTGTTAGAGATACTAAACTTTTTTTTCCTAGTGTAGTTACCAGAAACGCATTTAAAAGTCCATAACTTAGTCAAAAAAGGAGATATTTTCGTTTTCTTTGCACCGCTGTAAAGGTGAATTCTTCTTCTAAAAAATGATATATAGATTGTATGTAGATTCTTTGGCGAATCCAATATGGTGGACACGAAAATTAAGAAATCAAGCTATTTTCGTGAAACCTGGTGACCTACAGTTTTTCATACGGCGAAAAATGAAGGGACTATTTAAATGGTGATCTATAAGATATTATTAAAACTAAAAAAAAAAATTTAACCGATCAGGCGTATTTTTCGCTTCTGGGAGTTGCTTCTGCTTGGAAAGGTTTCTCGTAGATATAAAATTCTGATATTTTTTCTGGTTATCACTACTTATAGTCTCAGTTGAAGAAAACTCAAATTTTATTCTTAAAACACTTATAAAAAAGTCGGACGTTAAAGGGTTAAAGAAGACTAGCTCGGGATCACACACGCAGTCGTAAAGAGAATCGGTCTCTCTTTTTTTTTTATAATCACTCGTCTCTCATCGTGTGTTGCCTCTGTGCGACCGTGAGAAGAGACATCTCGTTTGTCTCACGTTACCCGCGCGCAGGAGAGCGCGGATTAAGCGAGCGGATTAAATGAATTTCGATTTGCATTAACTTTCACTTAGCTCCGCTACGACCGGGCCCGCATATGCACGTAATTATCAAATAAGCGTTGCGCAGTAACATCGGCTAATTTAATAACGCGGTTAACCGCGTAACTATATCGCGTAAGAGGTAACGGTTATGATAACGGTCACACATGAATAACGTTTATGTCGGCGGTTGGATATCGGCGGAATAGCGATGGTAGCGATGGTAGCGAAGGTGGTGGTGGTGGTGGTGGTGGTGGTGGTGGTGGTGGTGGTGGTTTATTGCAATACAACTAATCTTCTTCTTGTATTCTTGGCAATGTTGTTGGTGCTCGCACGAAAAAAAAAAATGAACGAAATGGCATGCTGGAATTTTACAGGAGGTGAGTCTTAATTTCTTAACTTCCCCGCGCGGTTTTCTCGATCGTTCAATGTGATTAACGCGTGCATGCGTTTCGAGTGTATTCTCTTCTTGTGTGCATATGTGTGTGTGTGTGTGTGTGTGTGTGTTTTGCTACCTAGGACAACGCGGTTAATGTCGTCGCGAGTTAATGACATAACGCATTAATTAAGACTCTACGGGTGACGCTTCGCTTTTCAAGGGCCGCGACACGCGTCACCTCGCATTTGCGTTTGTTGCTGTTGCTGTCGCCGTTGCTGTTTCACGCGCATTCCTCGTCGTAATCGGCCAATCCACTCGGGGCTCGATGAACGGACTCGCCGTGATGAAATGAGCCATGCGCGTGTGCGAGATCGGTAATTACGCGTCGGTCTTTGCCGGAGCATGCGATGACACTCTGTAGGTGGTTGTGATGATTTGCACAGCTCGTAGGTTACCTATGTGTGTGTGTGTGTGTGCGTGTGATTATTTCTTCTCGCGTTACAAATCACACACGAAAGTGTCGCCCTGTGTGCCACCCAATCGCGAGGATTTTCGTTAATTTCGTCCGAAATATCATCGCTATGCTTGGCCATACCTCGTGATCGTACTGTTGACCGTGAAATTGTCGCCTCACGCGTGCAGCCCGATGGCGGCTCGAATCGGAAAGCATTCAACATACCACGTCCACGTGTATCTCCATTTCCAATCGGAAGAATGGCTAACATTTATCCTCTTTTCGTGACGTCCTCGATACGTTCCGCGCGTCGTTGTGCTCTCGCGAGGGGCTGTATGACGCGTCGCGCCGCATCACACTCGTAGCTTACACGTAGGTGTGCTTCTGTAACAAGGTATTTGTAGAGAAAGAGAGAATGCCGATGTGCACGGTGCATCGATATGTACTAATCGTTCGCAGTAGCTGCCAGCGCTGCGGATTAATAACGAGAATGTCGAAGTAGCGTCGCGCGTGCATTCTCGCTGGAGCTAAAGAGCCTCGCTTTGTTCTCGGCCGAGCAGAAGCAGCAGGAGATGAACAAGAACAAGGAGATCATCGTGCTGAATCACAAGAGGTCGAACGCCATCAACATCGGCATGACGAAACTGCCGCCGCCGAGGTCCATCAAGACCGCGATCCTCAAGATGGACGCCACCATCATGAACAGGGAGGGTATCGAGGTGAGAATATCGCGTTCCTCACTCACGAGTCGCCACTCTCTCGTTGGAATAGTTTGCGCTCGCTAATAAACATCTCGCTGAGAAAGAAAGGAGATATCCCTCTCATATTCTCTCCACTGGTGCGGCGCCAGATTTTGCTCGGGCGCGACTTACGGCTCCATGTTTCGCGATGCGTCTTTGTTTCCCCGCGAAAATGAGAATTTCACGCTAAAGAATTTCACGCCCGCGCAGCGTGAAATTCTCACTGCTATTTCCGAGTCTCCGTTTCGATCACGCGCTTCGTATGCATCTCACGTACAAAATCTACTTAATCGATGTTTCAATTTCCACCCGCATATTGAACGTCTGCCCGACTGAAAACACACACACGCACACACACACACGTTCACACCGATCCCGCTTTAATTCACGACGGACAGGGAACCTTGAAGATTATCCAAAGTTCTGTTCACGGTCGACCTCGAGATTCAGTTGAAATCCGCACCTGTATATTCTAGTTTCCGATTTTATTCTGATTTCTCTAATTTCCGATTGGGCTTCTCTTCTTCGTTTGTTCCTCTTCCTTCGCCCCCTCGACCCTCCCGAAACAGAAACTCCTGACGATGCTGCCCACCAAGGAGGAAAAATCCAGGATACAAGAGGCTCAGGCTGCCAATCCCGACCTTCCTCTAGGATCGGCCGAACAGTTCCTCCTGACTTTGACCTCCATCTCGGAATTGCCGGCGAGACTGAAGCTGTGGGCGTTCAAGCTGGACTTTGAGAACTCTGAAAAGGTAATCGCGATATCTTGGTGCTTGGTCCGTCTCTGCCTCGACGTCGCGCGCATAATCAACCCCGAGAACGCGTTAGTTTCCTTTTTCCTTTTTTTTCTTCGTCATCCGTAATGTCATCGGACGTAATTCCTCGAGAAACACACCCACGTCATCGACGCGATATCACGACGATGTGTCCACGGTTGAGTACCACTGTTACGTAATGGCAATCAGCTTGGCTTCTTTCCTCGCGGCTCCCGCCCGCGCCGCGGCGGCCGCGCCCTCGCTCCTGGCTCCGCTCGCGAATTTCCTCGGGAGTATCGCGACGACGATGAGGAGGAATGCCAGCGATGCAGGCAAGAAGGAAGTCGGCAGCGCCGGAGGAGCGTTCCCGGCGCGCGATTTCTTCAACGACAAAATAGCGAATTCCGATATCGTGCGCGCCGGGGCTGCGGAAAGTCACTCGACGGCGACGATAACGACGACGACGACGACGACGACGACGACGACCTTTTTCCCTGACTGGAACGGGCAAGCGCGATCGCGTGAGATAGTCAGCTCGCCCCGTGAAATTCGAAAATCCGCCGCGAGAGCGACCGAAACTTCGCGCTTTTGTGGCGTGCGCGAAATTGCACCCCCCGATTCGCATTCAATTCGAAAAGTCTGCCCACCCTCGCGGCAGCCCGTCCTCGCGAGAGTGCTTCCGTTTTTCCCGCGTGGGGAAAGAACGACTTCCTTCCTGGCTGACCTTCGGTTCCGGCTTTTTGCCGCGCGTTCACTGCAGGATATTAATCCTGCATAATGACGCCGTGCGCCGGGGTGAGCCACGCGCGTGCTCGTGAGAGAGAGAGAGAGAGAGAGAAAGAGAGAGTGAGAGAGAGAGAGAGAGAGAGAGAGAGAGAGAGGGAGAGAAATCGATCCGTCGGCCGGCCGGTCGACAACAGAGAGCACGCGACCCGCCAAGGAATAAACGCGAGCTCTCGGGCTTTGTGACTTTCAGGAAATCGCGGACCCTTTGATGGATCTGAAGCAGGGCATGGAGACGCTGCGAGTGAATAAAACGTTCCGCGGGATTCTGAGCACGCTCCTTTCGATCGGGATATTCCTCAACGGAAATGAGGTGGGTATTGAATGCCAGCCAAATGATATCCGCTTAATCCGCCTGTCCCGCAAACCGAGCCCCCTCCCCTCGGGGAGGGAGGGTTGCGGCGGTTCGAGAGAAATCCCGACGATATATCTATAATTTCGTTCTAACTGCCAGCTCCGCTAACTGCGAGATACCTCTCGTGCACACGCTCGCTCGCTCACTCGCGGCCGCTTGGCCGGCTGCCACATTTTTGTGAAAACAATCTCGGTTTAATACGGACTCTCTCGCCGCAATCACGGCCCTCTTTATTCGCCTTGATCCCTCGAACGACGATGTCGGAATTTTCGACCGGTCCTGACGCGACGGGAACGGCGACTGCTGCGTATTAGGAAGCCCTTGGACGGCTCACTCGTCGAATTTCCATCGGTTTCATTCCCGCGATATACGAGCGCGCGCGCGCGCTCTATCGCGCTGCACAACGTTGCATTCTTTCGTGCGCGTGTGCGGCTGAAATTTTTACGCGGCAAGTAATTTTCCTCGCCGCTCCCGGCCGACAGTCCTGTTTGTAGAACGCGCCGCGCAGAGTGTACCATATCGGATACGCCGAATACCGTAATATCGGCATCCGCCGAGCTATTCGATATCGCCGAAATTATAACGCCGTGCTCGCGCACGTTATGCGCGCACGTATACACGCGGGCGCGCATACGAATCTCGAAAATTCCCAAGTTTGCCGAAGAAAGGGATTTATCGTCCAGCCTGGCTCCCGTTGACATATTTATTCGCTCCGTTGATTCCTCTCGAGAGCGCGACGCGGAACCGCTGAATTTCACGCGAGATCCGTTCTTCTCGCTCGCTTTCGCTCCCTCGACCGTGTCCGTGTTCCGCGATTCGTGTCACTCGCTCACTCGCGCCTCGTTAATAAATTGAAATCGCGACGGCCGCGACGAACGAAGAAAATACTCAGCCCCGCTGCCATGTTGCGTCTGTCCCAAGAGGGCTGCGCGCCTCGTGAAAATTATCGGGATTTACCAGCGCTTTAACGAGAGAGAAAGACGCGCGCGCGCGCGATTTTCCCGCCGTTGCGCCGCGACGCGTCACGACGACTTTTTCTTTCTGTCTTCCAGGTGAAGGGCTTTCAGCTGGAATACCTCGTCAAAGTACCTGAAGTGAAGGATACGGTTCACAAGCACTCGCTGCTTCATCACCTCTGTCATATGGTGATGGAGAAGTTCCCGGATTCGACGGATCTCTACTCCGAAGTGAGTAGCAGCCCCGGCACCTTCGCCGAGAGGACCGAGGAAACTTTACACTTTTCGTCGCGAGCGCGAGCGCGAATCGCCCGGTCGTTTGCTCGCGACTTTTCCGAGGGAGACGCCATCGCCGAGCCGATTCCGTTCCTCGCGCGATCTCCTTTAACTTTTAAATCATCCTCGAAATTCCGCCGCGATCGACGCCGCCGCCGTCACCGCGACGGCGACGAGACGGCGGCGCTCGGCGCTCGGAACTTGTTCCGGAGAAGCCCCCGTTATACCGCGAACGCGGCCGCGTTCCCGCTCTATTCCCGTCGAGTATTTTTTACGCGCGACTCTGCTTTCAGATCGGCGCGGTAACGAGAGCTTCGAAAATCGATTTCGACGAACTGGCGGCGAACATCGCGAAACTCGAGAGCGAGTGCAAAGCGTCTTGGGACCATCTCAAGCTCATTGCGAAGCACGATGGCTCGACGATGATGAAGGTCAAGTGAGTATAATTCCCATCGAGTCTCTCTTTAGCTCTCTGTGTCTCCGCCCGCGAACCAATTTCCGAGATTCTCTCTCGTCCTTCTGCTCTCCTCCTTCGTCCGCGGACGAGTCTTCTCCGGGCGTTCGTCGTTTAAGAAGTCCCCCGAGTGGCTTCGATAAATTTGGTGGAGCGAGAGAGAGAGAGAGAGAGAGAGAGAGAGTGAGTGGAGCTTTTTTTCAAGCGAGCCACTGCCTGGCTGACGTCCAAGTGGAGCTTCCATTAATTACCGAAAGGGCATTTTCTCCTCCCTCGAGCCTCTCTCCATTCATCCTTTCTGCCGACAATCATCCCCATTGCACTGGCAACTTCCCGATGGAGATCTCCATCGTGTCTTTTGCCTTGCGCGCGCTCTGCAGCTTTAATTACTTCTCCTCCTTTTGAACACTTCATACTCCCTCGCGAATTTCAAGACAATTCATTACGATCGCGAGAATGTTTCTCGATAACAAAGCAAAGTCGCCGAAGTTGATGTTTCTATGCGCGCTATTCGAGGCCGAAGCGAAACGACGGGATCGCCGGACATGTTCGATCAGCGCGCTCCACCGTCGAAACCGTGCGTTTCGGAAATACATGGCCATCTTTGCCCCCTCTTCTGTCGCAGAATGTCCGATTTCCTCGCCGACTGCGCCGAGAGGATAATCGTCTTAGGCATCGTGCACCGGCGTATCATAAATCGTTTCCGCAAATTCATCTTGTGGCTCGGTATACCGCTGCACAGGGTGCAAGACACGAAACCCAACGAGTTTTGCAGGATCGTGTCCGAATTCGCCCTGGAGTACAGGACCACCAGGGAGCGAGTGATACAGCAGCTCGAGAAGAAAGCCAATCATCGAGAGCGCAATAAGACCAGGGGGAAAATGATAACGGAGGTAAGGCATTTCCGTTTCGTCTCGCGTATCCGGCTGCGTTCCGCGTCGCGGAAGCGACGCCGCGCCGGCGGATTTCACCGCTCTTCTTCTTCTCCGCCACTCCTCGCTCTCATCCCGAATCCGCTCCGCGAGCCCTCGTGAGAAATCCGTCTCCGTCTCCGTCTCCGTCTCGACCGTCTACGACTTTTCCCGGCAAAAATGGACCCGCGTGGACTCGCTCATTCGGTCTCTCTGTCTTAATTGCGCGTCAATGCGCACAAGCACATTCGCGGCAGGCGCCGCGTGAAATCGCGCGGAAGGCGGCTCTCGCGAGCAAACTGTAAAATCGCGAACTCGCTTCTGCCGCAGGTCGGCAAGTTCCGCACAAAGGAGGACCGAGCGGACGCGGAGCTCAGGCAGCTACTCGGCAGTGACATCTCAGACGTCGAAAGTATCCACGGCACATTACCATGGCGAAGGCAGAGGAAAGACGGTGAGTTCTCAGTCAAATCGCGTCCCCTCCGCTCCTCTCATGTTTCCGCTTTCAGCGTCGATACACTTTCGCATCGATTCGCAGCCTCCCCTGCCGTCGCGTCGCCCCCCCCCCCCTCCCCCCATCTCCAATCCTATCGTCACGTCGCGTCCATTGTCTCGATTTATTTCGATGTGTTTCTTCATTTTTCATCGCGGCAATCTCGCGCGCGTTGATTACGCACCGCGCATTATCAAGGGCGATCAACTATTTAAGCTGCGAATGAATTGGTCCGGGTGCGCTTTATCGCATAATACAGTCGCTCTATGTTGAAATATGTAGCGGCCCATTATGTGTTCCATCAAGCGACAATAATATAATAAATATCCCCGGAGCAACACCGTGCTCCTTCCCCGCCGCCCCTCGCCGATAGATATTTTTAATCCGTTCCTGTACGTGCACACACGAATATCGTGCACGATTTATGAGCGCTCAATTCTCGTTACGGCAAAATCTCTCTGTAAAATTGGCACAGACGCGCGCGTACACGCGTACGGTAATCCGTAACACCGAACTGCCGCCACCGGCGGCGGTGCACAGGAGGAGACAGACGCTCTCTCTCTCTCTCTCTCTCTCTCTCTCTCTCTCTCTCTCTCGGAGAGTAGGAAAATGCGTGACTCTCTCGCGACATCCCGTACAACGGCAGGGGGAAGGAGAGGAGGTTCATGAATCAAGCGAGAGCGCGCAAGTCGGGCGCTCTTGCTCCTCGCGATCAGACAGAGCGAGAGATTTTATCACCGCGGGCGATCACGACACGGGACATGACGGCGGTCTTCCAGCCTCTATTTAAGCCTCACTTTTAGCTGGCGCGACTCTAGAAGGCGGCGCACAGCCACGTCGACTATTCCGCTGCGGATAAGAACAAAGTGCGAGAATTTCTCCTCATCTTCGTGTAATGTTCCAGCTCGGCGGTAGCGGCGGTGGTGGTGGTGGTGGAGGCGGCGGCGGCGGTGGCGGCGCGGCAGCGGCGGCGGCGGCGGCGGCGGCGGCGGCGGTGGTGGTGGCGGCGACGGCGGTCGCGGCGGCAGTGGTGGCGGTGGTGTGCGCGCGCGAGATAAATGTCGCCCTTAAGCAGCGGCTCTTGCAGGCAAGATTTAAGGATAGCGCCGGGTCATTTGACGACATTACCGGAAAACGAGAAGTAAATGCGTCGCCCCGTCCTCCTCGTGATTACACGCCGCGTTCGTGAGCGCACTCGCTCGCTCGCTCGGATCCAGTTTCTTGCCGTCCTCCCTTGTGTTTAGGCGAACTACAACGTGGAAGTTACCGGCGCGTATAAGTCCCCGGCTCTGCCTGCCGTTCGTTATGTCCATTACCTTCGTACGGGCGCTCACGCGGAGGCTCGCTCCGCACCGCCAGTGAGTTTCTCTTTTGCGCAGCCGGATTTTCTCCGGCCGAAATTCGCGACTGTGTTCGAAACACCCTTGTACTTTCTTCCTTCCTCCCTTCCTTCCTTCCTTCCTTCCTTCCTTCCTTCCCGCCTTCCTTCCTTCCTTCCTTCCTTCCTTCCTGCCTTCTTCCCGCCGCCAGCCGTACATGTTAAGCCGTAAATGTAACTCGGTTGTAAGTAGCATTAACATTCGGTGGCGAGTAGCAGTAGGGAGCGGTTGGCGAGGGGAGGGGGAGAAGGGTTGGGAGGTGAATAAGAGACGCAACGGTGTGTCTTCGGCGCGGTCGAGTGTTGTGCTTTATAAATTCTGTATTCATGAGAGAAAAATTCTCAACCAGAGTGGAGAATTTCGCCCGCCCGACTCACTCTTTATCGCGCTTTGCGCCGCGCTGCGTAAGACGGTAACTTCGTCTCTCCGGAGGGGGAGCAGGGGTGAGGGGAAGCAGAATTTAAAAGTAGTTAACTTCCAGGGGGAATATTCGAAGCGACGTGGATATTATTCGAGTCGGCGCGCGGAGAAGTATCGCGCAAATAACAGCCCCTGAGAAATTTATTCTTTGAATTCGTTCGGAAAGAATTCCGTCGGACTCTTTCTCTCTCTCTCTCTCTCTCTCTCTCCCCGATGTTGTAAGTTTTATTGTAACATTGTTCGCCAACTCTCCTGGTATCTTCTGCCGCGCTTCTTCTCCTCCTCCTTCTCCTTTCGCTCTCCTCCTCCTCCTCCTCCTCCTCCTCTACCTTCTTTCCGTCGATTTTCTTTTCAACTTTATCAATTTCTCCCTTTGCCATCTTTATCTTTCGCGGATAAATATTCATTCAGCGTATTAGCGTTATAGCGAGTCTATAACATTCCTTTCGCGCCATCGGAAAGCTATCCGAAGATGAATCGCGCCGTCGATTGTCCGGTGTTTCAATCTGGCGCGAGGTATTTACAACGAACGCAATTTTCAAACTTTTGCTACCCCCCCTTCCCTGTTCTGATCTATTCCGTCTTCAATGACCGAAGAGTCCACCGCCGCCGCCGCCGCCGCCACCACCGGGTGCCCCCCTTCGCGCGGACATATCGCGAGACATTGCGACAATAAATATGACAATCGGATCCTCGATATGAGGGAGACGTGTTTACTCTGGGCGCGAAGACCCGTCGTTACGTACGATCAAATCCCACGGCGATGTCATCCCGGGAGGGAGATCCAGCAGGAACGACTGACACGTTCCGGATCTCGTAAGGCTATATTAGGTTGTAACCGCGAATCACCACTTTCCTGACGAACGTGGAATTTTTATTCCCGCTGCCTCTCTCTCTCTCTCTCTCTCTCTTCTTCGTGTGAGCGTGCAGGGGGATACGCAGGGGATTGAGCCGACTCAAGGAACAAGGGTTGGAACCTACATCCGACCCTGTACAGCTCGTAAACCCAACCACCATCCACGTGCATTACCGCGACTGCAGCCGTCATAACTTTTCTCCCCTTTATTCCCGCGTATGTCCGGACATAAAGTATCTAAACGCTCCCCGTCTAAGTCGTGCCGGCATTTCTAGCTGGATGACGGCACTCTGGGCTGGAACACCTGGAAAAAGGCTCGGGAACACTCTCTCTCTGTCTCTCCGCGACGATGATGATATATGTTTTAAAAAGAGGCGAGGACTCGGGCCCGGGCTGGGCTGCGTCGCGGCAATATTACGCGCGAGCGCGAGCTCGATCTCGCTCGGATCAGAAATCTATTGCATCTGTTATCGCGACGAGTCTCACGATCCGATCGCTTGCGCAACGAGAATGCATCAAGCGGAACGTATATATACACCGCTATCGAGAGAGATCTCTCGGCGGTTATATCGGATCAGCGAACGGCAAATCGCTGGAGAGCGCGCTCGTACATTACGTACGGTAGAGCGGCCGCGGAAACGAATTGTCCCGATTGACCCGCTGTGTCCTGCCAAGGAAGGCGTAATAAGCGAAACTTAAAGACCTTTCCTTCCTCTCTCGCCGTATCTCCCGCCCATGAAAATTCTATCGCCACCCTGCTCGCCCGGCCGCATTTCTATCTCTCGTCGGGTCTCCTTTCCCGCGGCACTTGTATCGAGAGAGAGAGAGAGAGAGAGAGAGAGAGAGAGAGAGAGAGAGAGAGAGAGAGCCACCGGCGCAATAGCTTTTCTCGGGCGAGTTTGAAAGAAGAGGAGCCCTGAAGAGAGGAAATTCTGTGCATTTGACAGTTTCGAAGTTTCTGCCCGGCGGACCGAACGGGGTGACTAACCCGGCTAGGAAATAAGAGACGACGCGGAAGACGAATCCCGCGGATGCACGCGATTTCCCTTCGCGGGGGATTGCCTTTGATTAAACGCCTCTGCCTCTTTGAGGGAGTGTTCCGCTTCGAGTAACCGAGACAAACTGTCTGCTATAATGCCTCGTAATTTGTAAAGATACACGAGACGAGACCTGCTTGGCACGAGACAATAATTGGCACAGCTCACTCGCGTGTTCACGTCGGCTCGACTACGGTCGAACGCGAGCCCGTTGCTTCGTCAACGATCGGGCTGTTCGTTCGACATGTTCTTTTTCATCATTCAGTTCACGCAAATTTTCACACGAGAGAACGAGAGACCAGGGGGAGATACAGCCGAGGTTGGGACTCGGAGACCGGAGGACGGATCTTTGTTGGTGCTGAAATGGAGCGGGAAATCTCGCTCTCTGTTCCAGGACGTATAATCGCGCTGGGTCCGGTGCTTCGGGACGAGAGCACCAACGGCAACTTGGCCGACGGTGTGGACGAACTGCTGGAATCCCTGGTGAAAACCGCGACGAAGGCACCGGCCACCAGGACAACGCCGCGCGAGCGCAAGAGGACCAGACACGCCGATCGTAAGTCTTGTAAGTGTGACCCCAGCACCCTGCACCTGGATTCTCTCCTCTCCTCCCTTTATCGATCGAGCTCTGGTCGCGGAATCGATGACTCTCTGTAGAATTCTTGCGCGACAAAGTCGGGGGGACGACGAGCATATGTCATCGCGCGAATCGGCGATCATGCGCGCCGGAGAGTCACGCGATAATTTCCACGATGAAACATCGTGGAAATTTGCCCGACGATAAATCGAAGCAAGGTGATCAAACAGCGCTATCGCGTACCGCTCGCCGACGGCGCTTCGACGTTGCGACGCGACATCTCGGCACGATTCGCCAATTCGCCTGGGAACGTAATGGGGCGAGACGGGAACTCGCAAGTGGCGTGAAAATTCGTCGTTAAAGTTCAATCGGCCGCGCGAAATGTCGGCCACTAGTCGCGAAATTCTCCGATAATTTCCGCTGCCGCGGCAGTCTTGAATTATTCGCCGCGAACTGTACATTATTGAGAACCGCCGATCTGCGCTCGGAGCCGCCGCTGCTGGGTCACCGGAGTCGATCGATAAGCGAGAGAAGTTTGGAGATGTCGGCGTCGACGCCCCAGATCGAACATGCGATCGTGACACGTGTCGCGTCGATTGAGAAGGTTTCTTCAATTTCCCGTGCACTTCATTAGCACCGAGTCCGCCTCCGCTTCGACGTCGGCGTTTTTGGTCGTGTTTGGCGCAAATACCTCGACGCAGTCGCTGCCGCTGCCGCTGCCGCGGTTGATATCAACCGCGATCTACATCGCGTAGCAGGGCTCGAGGCTCGAAACTGCGGAACGCGCGATGAATTCGCGCTTTCGGGACTTTCGGACGGAACGAGAGCGCGCGGCTCGTGCGCGTTACGCGTGGAATAACGACAATGCTAACGATAATTATAATTGTAATTTCGGCACGCACGTTATAACCCTGCAAATTTCGTCGAACCTCAAGGACCACTACGCAAACACAGAATAATTAAACAACCCAGTAAAAATCAATAGGTATAAACGGGCGAATGAAATGACACACAGAAACTACCTTCTTTCACAGTCTCTTTATTATCTCTCACTGGCGTTGGAAATTTCGATTTCGAAGACTTGTGCGTTGAAAACAGGTGGGTCGGAAGGTGCTGCAAGCTCCGTCGTCGGCTACACCCGCTACACCCCGCGTCCTGCGCTTCGTCCTGGACTCGGCTCCTGGTTGTCATCGTAGTCAGGCACTCCCGCGGTTCCGTGAGAAAATACGAATCGATCGGGAATGCGGCGTTAATTAATAATCACCCGTCAACCGGCCACGGATCGGGCGAATCGGGCTGCGGGCGGAATTTCCGATGCGCACGCTCCTGACCTGAGTTTGATAAGCGGCTACGAGCTTATGTTCCAAGAACGTTGTTTGTCTGGATCTAGCGGTCGTCGTGTTTGTATACACGTTGGCTCATATTTTCAACTCTCTTTTATCATTAAAAGCGACTGTAAAAAGTGGCTTACAAGCCACCTGATTGGCTGTAAGCCACTTTTAGAGTCACTTTCAGCGACGAGAGAGAGTTCAGAATATGGGTCGTTATCTATCTAGGATCGGGCGACAATGGCTCGCGGTTAGCGAATGGTGGGGAGAGTTTTTGCCTTTTCCAGCGATTGTTTGGCGACCGCGTCATTACGTGCCGGATCGAAGAGCGGTTAACACGACATGACTGACGCTCGCGCTCGCGCTCGTGTATGTGTGTGACGGTTATTTATATTTATACTTTCCGTCGGGCGATTTGAATATTACGGGGACTCTTGCGGCAGCATCGCGAGATTAATTAAGCCGCATTCTTCCGATGGAATCATATACGCGAGTGTCGATGTGTATCACAGTGTCACAAGTGACGGTCTCTCTGCTGTGTCACGACGGTGCAGCCTACGTCGAGCAAGGTGTTGCTGGATCGATGAGCCAGGACGGAGGACGCAGGACGCCGAGAGCGGCCCGGCGACACGTCGTATATATCTCCAGGTGTGCCAAGATCATTTATTGCGCGGACGTTCCCGGGATTTTCACGGGAACGACGTTTGACACGTTTACCGGGAATAAGAAGGCACTCGAGTCGTGATTCAAGCCGGTATTCGTGGTCGATGATTGTCTGATAAATAATCGCAGGATCTCTCTGCTTACACGTTGACGTGTATTTATTTCACAGTAAATAATGTTGATTGAAATATTTCCGCAAATACGAGACACTGTAATTAATCAAGCGCTCGATCAAAAGCGGGAAATAGTTTGTTACTACGAGTTTATATCGGCCTCGGAATTTAGCGCAAGTTTTAAAAGTGTTGTTGTGTCACTGCGGTCTAATAATGCTTCTTGAGCCGCGACTCTTCTTACACGCACCTGCTAACGCTTTCTCTTCACTACTATTTTTGATATTTTTATGGAATCGAAAGTTCGATTTCTATTGGTGCGCGCAGCATTGTTAGACACATACCTGCTATCTTCGAGTTTACAGATTTTTTCTCAGCCTTTTCGAAGAGCTTCAAATTTTATCGATATTTCCAACGCCAGCAGAGAAAAAATAACGAAGAGATTATATGAAAGTAAAATGTTCGTTGTTTTATTCACACATTTTTATTATTTAATACTTGCTTATCGCACATATTCTATTTGCAGTATAAAATTACATAATTAATTAATAGTAAATTATATTATTACACAACACACTGCTTTGAAATTAAAAATAAAGATTGAACGCAAATAGAATATAATGAGGTAATCAAAAATTAAATAATCCTGAAATAACCACCTTGGAGCCTCAGCATGAAGGGAAAAAACGACAGTTTGCTGCTTGCCATCGTAGAAAGGTAGGTGTCAATAGCTTGTACAGAGTTGTACCTCGAGATTCTCCATTGGTCTTTTAAGTTTGGCGAAATTTGCAGGGTTAACGTGGAACACGAAAATTTCGACGTGAGTACATTCTTTGGAAGAAGAAGAGGTAAATATATAGAAAAGGATACACTTCACGGATTTTTTTCATTTTGAAATATGTTATAAAGGATGAAATTCTGAGTGACTTTTCTTGATACAATTATATGGGGGTCGCTTATAGTTTCCGAGATATTTGTTTTTAAAATTTTGGAATTTTTATTATCCTGGAATTAAATTCCAGATATCATAAACTGACGTTATTTACAGTACAATCCAAACAGTTAATCCACACATAGTGTATACATAGAAATATGGGAGACAGTACATACAAGCGGGAGAGGGGCTCCGCCCCTCCCCCGCATCCCCTCCCCAAAGAAATCCTAACCTAACTTATTGCATCTTTACATATTGTTGGGCGATATTGAAAAGCCACAACACCTAATTATATGCAGATATCATCATAAGTCGAGCCAGGTGATAGATCTTGGGAGAACTTTTTTCCAACAATGTCCAAAAATATATAAAGATGCAATAAGTTAGGTTAGGTTAGGATTTGCTTGGGAAGGGGGTGCGGGGGAGGGACGGGATAGGAGCCCCTCTCCCGCTTATACGTACTGTTTCCTATATTTAAAGTGAATGAAAACTGCTTGTCTACTTCAAATATACTTCAACGTATCAATTATAAAACTTTAAAGTCCAATATCTCAGAAACTAAAAGCGACCCCCGTATAATTGTATTCGGAAAAGTCACTCAGAATTTCATCCTTTATAACATATTTCAAAATGAAAGAAATCGGTGAGGTGTGCCCTTTTCTATATATTTACCGAAGGAAAAAAAAGTTTTCCCCTCCTCTTCGGAATCTCGTCGAAGATCTTGAAAAAATTGTCCTATGAGCGTTACAAGTAAGAAACGAGTGCACCGAAAATACCGCAAGAATAATTTCCCGCGCCAAACGTCCCGATAATTCAATTAGATTCTTGCGCGAGCGCAAGTCCGCGGTGAAGAACGAAGGTTTGCTGCACCACCTCGGAACTCAATTATATCCAAAAGCCTCCAGGTTCATTTTCGATAATTAAGCATTCCGTTCTCAGCGCGAGAGAAGAAACCGACCGAATCGATTTACGTTAAAACAACCCGATAACCGGGAAGTTGCCTCGAAGCGCGACCCGTCGTGCCGTGTTTCCGCGCGAACACCGATCGGTGGGAATTTTTGCCGAAGGTCGCGTTTCGTTGGCCGAGTGTTCCCGGACGCACGCCTACATGTTTAGGGCACACGCACGCACACAGTGGATCCATCCAACAATCCGGCCGAGATAACGTAACTGCCTGCGTAATGCCGGCAGATTATTCCGCATTTCTCCGTTTCTGTTTTGCCGGAGCGACCGGTGATCGATATCGGTGCGCGCACGAGGAAGTCAAAATAATCCTCCGTCGCGTCGGGCCTCCGCTGGCGCGTAAATCTCGCCGTAATCCGATCGCCGAGTGCGTTGACCGATCTTTCCTCCGCCGATACTTACGATCAGCGCGATGCGCGTCGTGTACGTACGCGTCCTATTACTGACGCACACAAGGACGAAACGGCATATCCGACGTGGACGAGAGCGAATCGCGATTTACTTTGCGCGAACTTCGATCTCGTAATCTCGCGAGTCTCCGAACGCGTTCGCACAATGACGCACGTCGTGACGCGCGTCTCTATTGTACGAGCCTTCGATTCAGCGGACATTAAAGAAATCGCTCGCGACGCCTCTGTGACGCCACAAAAAGTGAAAAGCTCCCGGCCTCGCGCGACGTGGCGAAAATACAGCGCGCCCTCGTTGGTTGACTTGATTGTCGCGCGGATTTTCGTTGTTGATATCTCGCCACTGAACGAGTCGCTTGACTCGCCAAAAATACGGTAAACATTTGCAATGTGTGTGTATTCTTTCGTTCGGGTCTCGTCAGCCTCCTCTTGACTTTTGCATTTCATCCGTCAGGTACGCTCAGTTACATTCCACACGCAAATTAACGAGACGACGCGACGATATTACGGCGTCGCTTGCCGGCGGCAGCCAACGTGTCGTACTTTTCTCTTAAGCGTAAATTTTTTGTGGAAAACCCCCGCCCCGACACCGAGTCGTTGCTGGCTCCAGGATCGCTCCAGGATCTTGTGGGCGCTCTTGTATCGCGCGAAGCCGACGCGGAAAACGACACGACACCCGTCGTTACGACGGCATGTTCGGCTCGTCGAACGACTTTCCAGAGGTATCTCGCGGGGTCGGAGGGCGAATCTGTCCCGCTTGTTCCCCCGTCCCTCGGTCCTGGCTCCGCAGTGTCCTTCGTCTTTTCCCAGGTATCCGCGAAAGCCGCGGTGACGGTCTCTTTCTTTGTCTCTTCGTCTCTCCGTGTCTTTCCTCCTCTCTTGCTCTCACTTCACTCTGACCTTCAACGACTAACCTTTCACCTCGACTCACTTAACTCGGACGGCACACCTCGCTCCGATAACTTTACCTCAGTTACGGTTCCGCCGGCTTCCCGGCGACGCTTGCTCCATAACGTAGGGTGGCCTGGCGTTCTTGCGTCTCTCTTCTTTCTGTCCTGACAGTGAAGCGATCGCGCACCCGGGAGAACAACACCACGCCGGAGGGGTATCAACCCTGATGGGCCAGGTTTCGTGAGCTCTCTGCGATTAAGGTTCGGCGCTTTTCACGTTTCCCTCCGCTTCGCCGCCTAATCTTTTCTCTCTCTCTCCCTCTCTCTCACTCTCTCACTCTCACTCTTCCCTCTTACCGTGCAGCATGGCGTGCGCTTTTCGCATGACTCTTAATCCGCGCTTCCTTCCGATACTCCGGACAGTTTCCAGCAGCGAAAACGCGCGTCGATTTCGCGTCGAGTCGAACAATGAGATAGTCGTTCGCCATTAACACGAACGAAGAGGAGACGAGGTCGACGGTCCCTTTCGAGTTGACCGATGCCGGCCCAGAGCTCTCTCGTTCGGCAGCGCATCCATCCGATCGATATCGCGCGTGTGATTCGGAAATGATTAAAATTGCACAGTCACCTAGCTCGATATCGCCGCAGCGGTTCACCTGTCGCGATGCATATTCATTAGGGAGAAATTGAAATTCGCTGAAATTACCGCGCCGTGTCTCCGGAAAGCCGGCCGTAGCGGCCGGCGAACGCGTCCCGTCGATCTCTCGCGACGAGGCTCCGCGCTTTTCGCGATCGCTCAGCTCGGGGGAATCAGCTCGCGAAAAGAAAAAAGAAGGAAGTGCGCGTTGACTGTGAAAAAAGTACGCTTTTGGGAAAAAGTCGAGGAACGCGCGCACATTTCCGCGGCTCCTCTCGCGGAAAGTCGAGACCCGTTCGGAAAGTTCGTCGGGGGTTTAGCTTTCGGATAACCGAACGCGTTAAGGTCGCGCTTTGAACTTTACGCAATTTTAGTCTGCCATAATATGCGTAAGTGGGACTAAACTGCGCTTCCGTTGCTTTCGCGGTAAGTAAAAAGTTCGTTCTCCAAACGGGAAGCTATGCAGACGGCGCACCCGTGTTTTTGTGTGTGTGTGTGTGTGTGCGCGCGTGTTTGTCTAAGTTTGTCGACTTAATGGAGACTTACATAACGCGAATATATGCTCCCTCCCTCCCTCCTTCTTGCATGCGTACTTTCTCGACGCTTGGTGTATAAACCCCGCAGTGCTTTTCGTCTATTTGCATATATTTGCAGCTCGATACGGATGCTCCCGACGTTTGCACGTGGAAAGGACGCATGCATATTTATTAAGTGTGACTCTTAAGGAGGGGGACTTCCGCGAAAGTCGACCGCGCTCGCGCGATCTTTAACAGTCCTAGCTGCTTTTTACATCTCGCGAACACGCGGCTCGGCCGCGCTCTTATCGCATTTCGACACGTCATTCGAGGCGTGCAAGAGTCGCTCCTGACGTATTAAGCGGAGTCTGCAAAAGAAGTCGTAAGGTCGCAAGGTCGTGAGAAAAAATTTACCAATCATAACTGATTATTCTTTGACCGCGAGGAGAATAATCGGCTGCGATTGGTCAGTACTCTTACGACCTTACGACTTTTATTCTAGACCCCGCTTCATTCTTCCCAAAGTCGCGTCGTTGAAAGCGCAGATTATATTGGAGAAGATGGCACGCAGGAAATCGTTCAAGGCCATCACACACAAACGAACTTAAGCAGTAAGACGTAAGCAGTAAGCAAATCGACCAATCACAATCGAAATTTAAGGACGCCATTTTAAAACTTACGAGAATAATTGATTGCGATTGGTCAGTTTCTTTACCGCTTACGTTTCATTTGTGTGTGATGGCACTTTAGCAGTCAAGCTCAAGCGCACTCGACCGATCACATTCGATCATTGTCGAGGACGCAAGACCTTGTTGTGTAGAAATTGTCGGCTGTGATTCGCTCACTGCTCGAGTCCTCGCGGCTCACGTTTCCCTGTGCGTCGCGGCCTTTGCGACTCGGATCGCCGTAAAGTAATCTCTCGCGGAGAATACGAGTAAAGTGGAGACTGTCGGAGAGAGCGAGTGAATAGGTAAAAGATAACATTTTTGAAAGAGGAGCAGCGCGCGCTGCTCTCTCTCTCTCTCATGAGCGCTTTAAGATGAGGGTTCATTGAAAGCGCGCGGCCAGCGAATGAAATTTATTTTTAACGTTCTTAAGACGCGGAGATCCTCTCCGTGTTACGTGAAGAGCATCGGTGTGTCCGAGCCGCACAGGCCGCCCGCTCTCTCGCCGGGCGCCCGCATCGATCCGGGCCGACACACAGTGGCTCGCTTACGAAATTATTGATGCTCCCCCGCTCGGATTCGCGCCGAATGATTTATCGATATGCGATCGTTTGAGCACAAGCCGCGATGTTGATTAGCGGTACGCTTACGTCGAACATGGACTGTCAATCCGCGCGGCTTGATATTCCGCGCATTATGACAGTTGCACTGCTAAAAAGAGGGAGAAAGAGGGTGGAGAAGGACACACACACACAGAGAGAGAGAGAGAGAGAGAGAGAGAGAGAGAGAGAGAGAGAGAGAGAGAGAATATTGAAAACCAAAAGGCTAATCATTTGGCGAACCTCGAAATCGTATTCGTAAAATATTCGTGTCACAAAGTAACAAGGTATTCATTTTAATATCTACCGAGCCGCCGCGCATTTTCACACGCTATTGTATTCATTAAAATTAAATATTTAATTCTTGATCATGAATCTGGTATTTAATGAGAATTATAATAAGCAATTAAATTTAATATTCATTGAATTCAATATATTCACGCTTATGTCCGAGGAAATTATTTCCATTGGAATTATACGATAACTGAAAGTTCGAAGGTTATATCGAACGGGTAATTAGTGCTGCAGAAGTGAATTGTAGACGTCGTCTGTAAACATTTTGAACCCTGATGTAATTGTACAATGAAAAACGAGCTAATTTACTTATACCCGGTTTCGTGACCCACAGACGTGACCCGGCGAATGTAATTTCGAGATTTCTTTACGAGTAAAATAATTCCACTCACCCCCCCCCTCTCCCCGCGGGAGAGTGGAATAAATATCATAAAATTCGTCATTAATGTTCCCGTTGTAACGCCGTAATTTCCGTGTCATCGTCAATTGCGATAAGCAAACGCAAATATTGGGGGCTCGAAATATCGTTGTTGCCGGTCGTGTCGTCATGAAGGGAGAAATTATATACGCGAATTTATCCTTTACTTTTTCTTTCTATCCGCGTATTTATGCCCTACACCTCATGAATCATGAGAACGCGTATTGTACGGCTATTGCGCGAGGATAACGAGGCGGATCAAAGGGATAGAAGGTAATCGCCCAAGTAAGAGAATACACGTACAATATCGGTGGTTTGTGTGGCTGTATCACAAGAGTCCTTTGTTACGCGATACCAGATCAAAGAAACTGATATTATCGATATCGAGAGCTCGCGATGATAGCATCATTATCCTCGAGTAGGTACTTTCGAAACACGTCCGCCGCGATCGATCCTGTGTTTGCGAGCCGCGATAAAAGCATAATTACCGGACAATTCGTTAATACGCTGTTGACTTTGATAAACGGGATTAATCATAAACTCAGGTAGTCGATCGAACAATTAGAAATTAAAATCTCGCTGGTCCCCCTCTCTCGCAAGCCGTATCTTACCGGCTGGGCTCTCTGCAGCTTTTATTTAGCTCCTGCAATATTTCGAAGCGTGAAATCCGATCGCATAAAAAATCGAGCGCTGAATTAATCACCATGATTCCGATTCCGAGTAAACCATGGTGAATTTCGAAATTGGCCTCCCCACTCCTCTCTCTCTCTCTCTCTCTCTCTCTCTCTCTCTCTCTCTCTCTCTCTCTCTCTCTCTCTCTCTCTCTCTCTCTCTTTCTCTCTCTCCGGCGCACAGCGCAGCATTTACAAAAATATTTCAGAAAGGCAGAATTTTTTATAGAGCGAATGAAATTTTGTTTTTTTCACTCTCCTTTTTGGGCGCCCAGGTGATACCGGAACGATGTATGTTTTAGTATTTTCAAAAATTCATATCTCTGGGCCGAGATAGATTTTTGCGCTACGTATAAATTCGTATTTCCCGCGTAGTTTCCCGACGAAAATTTTCAACAAGTGTACCGTAGATTTTTACACGTCCGTGGCGCGTTTCAAGCTTCAAAAATCGCGCGATTGCGCCGCGCGAACGCATCACGGTGCATCTCATCGCGCGGGTTACGTTAATGCAACGGCTATAAAACACAGCTCGGCGCGATCGCGGGGGCGAGCAGGGGCGCACATAGTCGACAGGGATATCAAGCTGCAGTTACAGTAATTTCCTAAATCCGTCAACAGCCGACGGTTTTCATCGCTGCACTTCGGACGGTTTGTTTACTATCGGACATATCGGCAAACGGTATGCCGGATTAATCTCCACAACAAAGCGGCAAATTAATCCCTCGGCTAATTATTTACGTGATCGAAATAGCACAGAATTCCGATATACATGCAGACGTTGCTATTAACAGTTCAACTAATTATGCCGCTAATTATGCCGGAATTTCTGTCGATATGCGCGAAACAGCGAGAGCAGAAACAGGCAGCAACGGTTCAATCATTAACTACCGATTCTCTTTCCCGCATCTTCTCCCTCTTCCCTCTCTGTTCTTTTTTCATTCATATCGTATTTCGATTACGTCCGATGACGAGAGCTCGCTCGCTCGCCCGCCTGCGCGCGTCCATGAGCTTCTCTATTTTTGCCAATCGCACGTACTGATGTCCGTTTTTTCGTTTTTCTCTCTCTCTCTCTCTCTCCCTTTTCTTTTTTATCGTAACCGAATCATGAATCGCGCGTCCGATGGAAAAGTTCGCCGGTTACAAAACGGTGTTACGCGGCGCGAATTCAACGAGCTTGAACTCTGTCGGAACTCTTCGGCATTCGCGCAACGACGTTGTCCGCACGCGACACGGCGCGATTAATCGTCGACCCTCCTCGAGAGCCCTAGGTTAGAGTGTAACGGCGACGTGTCGGCTTGTAGCCTGACGAGCGCGAGCCGTTAATTAGGCACGGTCGGGCTCGATACGATTTCCTCGTGTGGATGGCCGCCGACACGGCTAACCGGCGAGTCGTTAACGCGCGCGGAAAAACGTTGATTCCCGACACTTGGCCGCGGGTCAGCCACAGCGGCGGCGGCGGCGACGATGAAACTTTATCGCGATTATAACTCTGGCGTTTTCCTCTCTTATCTTTGTAGCGTGCCCCCTCGGCAACGCCGCGCGACGGCACGGATCATATAAATGTACTTACTCTCGTGTTATCCTTTTATTACTCGAGAGGACGTCTCGCGCGCTTCGTTCGAAACGACGCGTCCTCAAAAAGCACGCTGCGCTTCCACATTTCTCGCCGCCCTGCCGCTTCTTCTCCTCCTTCTTCTTCAGCAACTTTATCTCAGCAACTTTATCTCAGCTTTGACCTCGGTTTAGACGGACTGCGGATTAAACGTACGAAATCGGGAACTCGAAATAACGCGTTCGCGCGGATTTTCATCGTCTGAACGACGGAAGACTCTGGTAATCCTCCGTCAAATCGTTTCTCAGTAAGACTGTTTGACATGTGACAGTGACGCGGATGCCGTGAGTGTTTCGATTCAAACGCGTCGAGGAATGTTTTGACGGAGGACACTCACCAGTGTCTTGCACCGTCTACACTAGGAAAAATGTATTGTTGCGTGAACCAAAATTTTGTTGCAACGACGAAATAATTTGGTTAAAATGTGCCCAACAAAGCTGTTTAGTTCCTGCAAACAAATATCTTGTTTGATTACGGTTTGCTCGTATAACGTATAATACTTTTGTTACAGCAATCAAAAAGCCTTAGCTATATGAATTTTGTTAAAAATATTATAATTTTTTCTTAATATATAAAATCTAAATTTTAGTGCAGAAAAAGACAAAATAGTACCCATTGGGCATTATGTTTTAGCTTATGTAAAATAATATTTCGTTATTACGTAATTTTTGTGGAGAAAATAACTAAAATGCTCAACTTTTATATACGAAGTCTAAGAACAAAATCATTTGGTCCAGAGAACAAAGCGGGAAAATATCTTTGGTTGAGACAACTAAATATTTTGTTATGTAAAACAAGATATTTGGTTGCTATTAAAAAATGCCTCAGCTAAACAGTTTCGTTAGAGAGATACTAAATTTTTTTCCCTAGTGTAGACGGTTAGCGAGAATCCAGTTGGAACTTAACTGCTTTGACTGATCGTTTGCGGAATACCTTCTGACAAAATTAATATACCGCTCTGTACATACTTTCTTAATTATCCTTTTGTAATCGCGACACCGTCGAGCACTTGCACGATAATTTTACGGCGACCCCTCGTGCCGTCGCGGTTGCGCTTTTCCTCGTGTAAATCGTCAACACCTCCTCCTCCTCCTCCTCCTCCTCTTCCGCCTATCGCTCTTCCATTCGCACGCACACCGTGAATGCAAATGACACGTCACCCCAGGAATGCAATGCAATGCAATGCAACTGCGTCAGTAGCTTGTGTCAAATTCAATTGCGACTTTCCCGAGCCGCTTTTTCGACCGGGGAAAGTCGTGAGCACGCGAGTCGGAAGATTCCGAGTAAAAGTGGCGCGCCGGTCGGTGCTTGGATTTTGCATTAAAAAGAGCCGACGAAGCTGATCTCTGACAAAGTTCCCTCTGTGCTTGCACGGCGGATAAGAATCGTGGGAATTAACCTGACAGTGAACGAAACAGAATTTCCAGAATTTCAAAACCCTGAGATTTCCGCTCCTTTTATGATACCATTTTTCCTCCACATAGGAAAAAAAAGGGTTTGCGCCGAAGGCGTAAAACCGCGCTGGGTTCGCTCATTGTCTCGTTGATTCAACCGATCCTCCTCTCCCGTGCGTGAATTAACGGTGGGAATCATCGGGATCTTTGTTGGAAAAGTAGCATTTACACCGTGACGTCGTATCGCAGGCAATACAGTAAAAATCTCTCGAGACGAGAAGAGAAAGCACCGACCTTTACTCAAGACGCCACGTTTACTCGGACGTTACGCGAGAGAAATATCATCGGCGCGACGTCGCGCTTCTCTTTCAGTGCGTAGAACGTTGAAGAACGGTCTCTCGGAAGAGGAGAAGAAGCACATCGCCGCCTACATCAAGGGCTACTGACTGTGATAATACTCGAAGACCACCAAGACATGCCCTCGACGAGAAACGAAACGAGACGGGGCGAGCCGGGGCACGCCGGGGCACGTCGATACTCGGGCGCACGAAGAGGGTGAGAAACGCGTTGGAGACTTCGCCAAGACATCGCCGGCCAAGAGAGCTCCGGACCTCCGGAATCCCCCCGTCTCCCCAGCGCCGTCAGCACGGGAGACGCTCCGACACGTCGGCGTCGTGTCCGACGAACAACGCGCGGTGCCTCGTCGCTCGATTTTTCTCACCAAGAGGCGGTAACAGGTAGCCGACGAAGGGAGAAAAGTGGAGAGAGAGAGAGAGAAAAGAAGGAAGCGGACAGCAAGACAGCGGTCCGGTCGCGAAATCCGGACGCGAGCGCGCGCCGACCGACGATTCTCAGATTTGGCCAAACGATCGAGCGAGCCGGCGTGGCGTGGCGTGGCGTTTCCCCTCACTCCACCCCCGCTCCCGGAAGGTATCGCGCGCGTTGCAGAGTCTGCTCCCAGCTGGGGATTACTCTCAGCTTTGCAGAAGCGTCCTCGTTTCTCGCAGACATCTCCTCGTCGCGTGGAAGTCTTCCGGTTGCGCCGGAACTTCTTTATCTCGCGGAAGATCCGCAGCCGGCGCGGTTTTTTCGCAGGGCTCCCTTCGCGTTTCCCTTTTCCTCGGAAGAGTTGCCTGCGCACCCGTGCGCACACGCGTTATTTTACGTTATTCGTATATATATATATATATATATATATAAATATAAATATAAATATAAATATGTATGTGTTACGTATTGTACTCGGAATACTTCTCGGTAGATTCACTCGAACCTCGGACGACAGGGTCGACTCGACTAATTAACCGTGCGTAATCACCACGTGCCTCGACGAATTTTCTATGATCGATCGAATTCTAAGACCGACCGGCACTCTCGCGAGCGAACGACGCTTTCGCTCGCGATGATCCGTTATGTATAATGATAACGAAGCGACAGCTGTTTCTGTTCTCCTACTTTTTTCTTTTTCCTTTTCTTTTCTTTGCATACGAAGTAACTATGACGCAGAACGATTCCTACGCGAACACACACAGCGAACGCATCGGTATACAACGCCGCACGGCGCAAATTTCTCACGGCGTGGCTCGCTCCCGAGACAGCAATTCAATTACTTTAATCATCACTTTAATATTGCGTCTGGTACAGCCGCGTAATCGCATTCATTGTAACCTTCTGTTGGAAATGATTCTTCAAATAAAGCGAGAAGCAGTTCTAAACGGTGGCCTCCTGATTCGTCGTGTAACCCTTTGATCAATTCTCACTCGGACTACTCCAGCGGAATACTCGATGGTGCGCCTCGAGAAACTTTGGATTCTTCCAAGTCGATACGAGAGAGGTGAGTACTTATAGATACTAATATCGAGCGCAAAAATTAATAAGTAAATTTTGGTTGGAACTAGATCGCGAAATCTAATTATCGGTCAACCAAAACTCTGCTGCTCGCACAACGTAATATTAACTAAAAATAAGACAACATGTCACATAGAGAGTCAATGAAATCCTCGCGGAGTCCACGGCTAAACGTTCAGACGGGGATGCAGAAATTGAAAGAGGTGGTTATATAACAAACTGTGCTCGAGACACACGATTTATTAATTAACCTTCGTCCAACTTTAACAACATACAATATAATGTAATAATAAAAACGTATCAGTTAAAATGTAATAATAATGATAGCGACAATAGGGGAGGCTCGCATTTTAGAGCGACCACATTCATCTCCACTGTGCGCGTCCTCGTGATATTTCGCTCTTCCTCTTCGTCATCCTCTTCTCGTCACCTGACGTGAATATCGCGCGACTCGCGAGCTAAAAATCGTTATGGCTTCGGGGGTCGGGCAAATTCGTGGGGGGGGGGGGGAAGGGGGGATCAGTGGAAGCTTTTTGAGAGCGGGACAGAATGCGTGTGCTTTTTATAGCACCATACGTCGATGCCTTTGAGTTACGCTAACATCTATAATCATGTAGAAAAAACATTCTCACCGTCTCACACCTTCCTCTCGCTCTGTCATCAATTTTTCTCTCTCTCTCTCTCTCTCTCTCTCTCTCTCTCCCTTTCTCTCTTTATATATATATATATATATATTATATATTATATATATATCGCGGAAACAGCCTCACTTCATGTCACGGGGGTGCAGTCACTCGAGCAGGCATTCGTGCATTTTTCGTCTCTTTTTCTTGGAATATCATATTAAAATGTACAGCAGCGTCGTCGCACCGGAATGTCGCTCGCCCGCTTAGGAATATCCGCCAAAATTTCGCATCTGTCAGGATCGAATCGTCATAACGAACCGAATCGATAATCCGGTCTCAGCGCTACGGTAAGGATAATTCACGATGTAGATTCGAAGAACAAATGTGAACGCGATTAATTTACAGAGGTCAAGCGATCGCGGACTTCGTAGCTTGAAACTTTCAGTCGTACAGATTCCGAGTGAGAGACCTTGGTCTTTTATTGCAGTGCGATCGAAATCGCTTAAAGTGCATATTTGCCACGTTAATTGATTATCACAAACACATGCTGAACACGTTATGAAGCGACGACGAAAGATTCGCGGACGTTCCGCGGTACGTTGTGCCAGGATCGGAGAGGGTTCGGGTGGCGAGTACGCCGAAAGTGATCGAGATTGCCCCGTTCTCGTGTCTTCTCGAACGATGCTGTGCGTTTAAGCTGGGACTCGCGGGACGTCACCGCGGCTTTCCTATTCCGACGGAACGCGCGATCGCGTGTCTCCTTCCCTGTCCAGGAGGACATCCGGCGAGCGGGTGGGGCTTCGGAGAAATGAAGGAATCCTCGAGTTAACGGGTTAGTTTTTAGAGCCATTTCCGGAATCTTGTCGATGATCGGTCCCACTCCGCGACTCCGCCAAACTTCGTTGTCCGTCTCTCGCCGAGCCCATCGCCCCCACCTACCCCTGGAAGCCTCCTGCGATCGAAGACGCGACTACGACCGGACGAATCGGAGGTTCCCAAAGATCGCGTTGTCCTCGCGATCTTTGGGAACCTCCGATTCGTCCGGTCGTAGTCGCGTCTTCGATTGTGAGCGTCGGTGTTGCCGAGTCGTCGGAATAATTCGCTTCTGCCGGAGAATCCTGTCGGTCTGCTTGCGAGTCCGAGCGCATGTGTGCCCGAGACGATTGATCGGTGAGTCCTTCGGGAATCCCCGGGGGAGGACTCAAAGAGGCGATTCTATACAGAGGTGAACACGTGATGACGCGGGGCGCGACGGCATCGTCGTCGTCATCGTCGAGGTCGACGGCGGCGGCGGCGGCGGCGGTGGCGGCGGCGGCGGCAGCGGCGGCGGCGGCGGCGGCGGCGACGGCGACGACGACAACGGGCGCTCGGAGACGCGATAATGCGGGACGAAGACTTCAGAGCTCGTCGTGCTTCGGCCCACTGAACTCGTCGTGGGAGATGAAGCCGTTCTTGTCCTTGTCCTCGTGCTGGAAGATCTCCTCGACGAGCTTGTCGTGGTCGGCCAGCATCTTCTTCACGTCCTCGTTCTCATCCGCGTTGGCCTGCTCCGCCTCCAACACCTGTTTCCGCAGGTAGTCGCTCACCTGCAAACGAAAAGCGGTACCGGCCACGTACGAATTAGCCGATGCGGCGCCCCTCACAGCGCGCTTATGTATGTACAGGTTAATTGTTAAACGTTCGATCCAGCGTAGGCCTTGTTAAGCGGGTTAATTATTCTCGCGCGGAGTCTTCTTTTATCCTTTGTCCGCGCGCGACCGAAGGAAGGGAGCTTTCAAAATTCATGTCCTCAACTTCGACGCGCGCGGTAACGTGATTCTGCCCAAACTTAATCCAATCCCACGCGGAATTTACAATGGAACATCGCGTGATCATTAATTAATTAGGGGTTAATTAGAATTATCTCTCTCTCTCTCTCTCTCTCTCTCTCTCTCTCTCTCTCTCTCTCTCACGCGCGCGCGGTCATGCGGTCTTGCGCAGAGCTGCTGAAAAATTCAATTCAGCTCGGCTCGTACTTTTTAGTGCATTATTCGTGCCGGATCGATTGTGATTTAACGACGTTAGTCTGTCTATTCTGCCAATAAAGCGTCTACGCGCGGGGCGACTTATAATACAGCGCCGTCATTCGTTTTGACGTCGCGCGCGATGTCACAATGTAACACGCTGACGAACGCGCAGCGCTCGTAATAACAATGGCCATAATAGGCTCGATGATAACGACGGGCTTTAGCTAGAGTCGACTGAAATCGAAACCCGAAGAAATCGCGCTGGGAACGGCGCGTTGGAAAATACCGGCTGGATTTACGAGGATGTACGTAAGGCGGGTCTCGCGTAGCTCTACAGTTCTACGACCACCACCACACAAATGGCCCGAATGAAAAAGACTTAAAGTGATCTTGCCATTGCTCTCACCTCCTCGCGGGACAACTGGTTGTCTTTGTCCGCATCGATCTCCTTGAAGACGTTGGCGGTCGGGGGCGAGTCGCTGATATTCATGAGCTCAACCTCGAAAGTAAGAGTGGCGCCTGAAATCAATAGCGAACAAAAGATTATGATAATTTGGACATCTTCCTGGTTACGCTATTCGCCCGTCGTTTGGTCGTTTCTCTCCCTGCCGCGCTTATCCGCGGTAGATTATTATTAGCATTATTGGCAAACCTACCAAACATGCGCGCCATTGTAACGCGCGGGTGTAAATGTGATTTTTATTTTTAAGTATTACACTTGATATGACAGCGAAGTTTTTTGCTGGCGATGTTTGTTGCTTGCTTATAGTCGACGCGAAAGTCTCTCATTTCTGTTTTCTCCCTCCCTTTCTTCAGTCTCGCAGGCAGGAGAGGCAGAGTATAAAATTAGAACTTTTGTTATAAAACGGAGTCTTTTCCAATATCTCGGGCAAACGTAAGATACATGTTAACGGCGTGCGCCGCCGACGAAGCCGGCGTCATAAAAATTTTAGATGCGGCAGGATCCCCATTTCGCGAGTCAAGAGGTTTATTCAGTTTCGCAAATACTATTAATCTCGATACGGCGCGCGCTCGTAAATCATTCCTAAAGCGCATCGATCCCACGTCGAGCGACAAAGCTTTTTACGCGTTCTCGCGGGTGTACACGTGGAATATGTGTAGTACGCGTACAATTGGAGTGGCCGACAAATCGGAACGCCTGAAAATACACGCGTGGACACGTGCAAAACGCGAGGAGGAAATATCCGCGATTGAATGCAGCTCCCGAATCGCCCCCGGATCGGTACGCGGAACGGTGGAAACAAAGGAAATAAAGGAACGCGTAATAAAGGAGATCGCGAGGAACGCGAGGAAGGAGAGAAATGGACTCGAGATCCGAGCTGACGTCTAATATCGAGCACGAGCGCGCGCGCTTGTAAATTAAATTACAAATTTAAATGTCCGTCACTCTCTCTCTCTCTCTCTCTCTCTCTTTCTTGCCGTTATCACATGTCATTTCGCTCGAAGCGAACGCGAGCGCCACTGCGGATCGTTGCCCCGAATAATTCGTCGTTGTCGATATCTCCGATCGAGGTCGATCTTTTTACAGAAGCCGCGCGGTTCTATTCGGAGAGACCGAGCCGCTCTTTGTCTCTTCCTATCCTTTCCTCTCTTAAAAATACATATCGACGAATATTTCCCGCGCGATAGCTCCACGTACACAGAAGCTCTCATTCGCGCGTTTATTTTTCCTCAAACCAGCACTAGTCGCATCCAGCGCGCTCTCCAAACAACGGAACAACGGATCTCCAACGGAAATTGGCTATTTCGAAAGAATCGCTCTAGATAAAAATGAGCCTTGAAACCATTTCGCGGCTACGAGCCGGCGAGTATGTAAAACGGACGCTCGTACGTTCTCTTGCGATAGAGATGATAACAGCGATGTCACGAGATATATATATATATATATATATATATATATATGTCACATTCGCGTTAGTGCGCGGACGAGGGGACGCAGGGGAAGATCGGGGAGCACAGTGATAGGTCAAATTGAAAGTTCGAACCTACAGAGGATTTAATACAGGACACGCGCGAGCGCGCATTCGGTCTGATCGCTAATAACGTCGCGTACAGAAATTCGATCGCCAATAACACCGCCTATAGATATACCGAAATAACAATGACCAGCAAATTCGGCCGACGGGAAGGAGTGGGGAAAGGCCGGCGGGGTGGGTGAAAGGGGGTTAACGAAGTGCTCGGCATGGGAGAACGCATACGCGCGCCCGGCACGTCCAGCCATTAATTATGGATGGTCCCGTCGCGATTAAGCTGGCCCTAATGAAATATGGCGTTTAATTATTCACTATTTAAACGAGTGAAATTAATACGGCGAATAATAATGCGCCGGCTGGCCGGTCGGTGTAACGGGCGCCGCGCCGTCGCCGTGGAAATTGGACGTGAGAAATGAAGAGAGATGACGGCATTTAGGCGCGAATACCGGCGGCGCGCGATCGCGCTATTTTCCCTCCGAGTGTTCTCCATTCGCCTCGTGTCTCGCGAACACGAGCGCGAGCTTGGCTATCCCTCGAGCGGGATGTAAATCGAACGGGAGCGTCGTGTCGGAAGCGCGCAAAATTAGCGTTTGATTTGAACGAGCAAATAAGCGCGCGCCGCGAATCTACATCTTGGGTCGTCGAGTAAGAGGAAAAGAGAGAGAGAGAGAGAGAGAGAGAGAGAGAGAGAGAGAGAGAGAGAGAGAGAGAGAGAGAGAGAGAAGAGGAGAAAAGAAGAGAAAACAAGAAGAGATTACATCGAGATAATCGCGTTACTTACACTTACCCCGCCGTTGCTCTTAAATCGCCCCCTCCGGCAACGCCGAACGAAGCAAGAGCGCGATAATCGCGCGAGCTGTGCCCGACCGGGTCGACCCGTATCGATTTCGAGTAAACTCGTAGATTTCGCGTTTAAAAAGTAATTAAAATAAACGGCATGAGAGAGAGAGAGAGAGAGAGAGAGAGAGAGAGAGAGAGAGAGAGAGAGAGAGAGAGAGAGAGAGAGAGAGAGAGAGAGAGAGAGAGAGAGAGAGACGGGGAGAAAGGGGTGAGCCGACGCGTAACGGCCGATTTATCTACACGCGGACCCCCTGCGAAATAGGCGAGCCGTTCATCATTGTTGATTCCGCCGGTCGCGCAGAGCCGCGTGCGCGCGCAACGCTGCTCAATTTAATGGTTGATGCTTTATTGGATTTCCGTGCAATTGCATTTTTGACTTCGATTCCGTTACTAACGACTAGCCTTGTATCAACCTGCCGCTACTCTACGCTCCAGCCAGCCTGCAAGCTCGCTCATCCACCCCCTTGTCTCCCCTCGTCAAGCGCGCGCGCGCAAAAACGGTGCCGCGTGTAATTTGAAAAATGCCCATGTCAGCGTGGCGCCTTTTAATCGCGATGTACATCGTTGCGGTCCGCTTGATTGCCGCATATACAGCCGTTGGCGCGTGTCTCGATTGGCGGAAGAGAGTCCGGGGCGGGCAATTAGAGAAGCGCCGAACTACGGACGAAATTACAGCGCCGGCCATTCATTAGCGGACACTAGCGGCGAATTGAAAAAGTTCCGGGCTAAAGAAACGAAGCGGACGCGACGCTTCCCGACGCGGCTCGCGAATTGTTTCTTCGGCCGACGACGACAGCCCGACTTGCGTCGGCGAGAGTCGCTCGATAACGCGACGCCGCCGCGCCGCGTGCATGCGTCACGGACGAAACGTCAAGTCGGCCGATAAATCAGGCGGCAATTAATCAGGACTAACAGAAACAGCGAGGGAGAGAGAGAGAGAGAGAGAAGGGTGTCGTCGTACCGCCAGGAATCACATTTCCGGCGCCCTTCTCGCCGTATCCAAGCTCGGGTGGTATCGTCAGCTTCCTCTTCTCGCCCACGCACATGTCCAGGAGGCCTTGGTCCCAGCCTTTGATCACCTGTCCCACACCAAACTGGAATGTAAACGGTTGATCTCTGTCCAAACTGCAACAAGAAACGAGGAAGACGCTGTCGTTAGTTTCACACTAGGAAAAAAGATTTAGTATCTCTCTGACAAAACTGTTCGGTTGAGGCATCTTTTAATAGCAACCAAATATCTTGTTTTATATAACAAAATATTTAGTTGTCTCAACTGAATATATTTTCCCGCTTTGTTGTCCGGACCAAATGATTTTGTTCTTAGACTTCGTATATAAAAATTAAGCATTCTAGAATTATCTCATCCATAAATTACATAGTAACAAAATATTATTTTACACAAGCTAAAACATTATGCTCAATGGACACTACTTTGTCTTTCTCCGCACTAAAATGTAGATTTTATATATTAAGAAAAAATTATAGTATCTTTAACAAAATTCATATACAATTAAAGCTTTTTGGTTGCCATAACAAAAGTATTACGTTGTACGAACAAACCGTAATCAAACAAGATATTTGTTTGCAGGAACTAAACAGCTTCGTTGGGCATGTTTTAACCAAATTATTTTGTTGTTGCAACAAAGTTTTGGTTCACGCAACAATACATTTCTCCTAGTGCACACGCGATGCAACGTTTCCTTGGCGCGTCGCTCTCTCCTTCCGCTCACACGCGTCCGCTTATTCTCTCTCGCGATTGACAGACACGTGTCAATGGCTGGCCTTTCGTTATCCCGTCGCGCGAATCAACTCGTCACCGTCCCCGTAGCCCGCAGCCCGCCCCTGCGAAAACGCGCAGGAAGCGTATCTGTTCGCGCCAGCCGCAAAAATTCCGCGCGATTATTCGCAACGCCGCGGTGTAATTCGCCCTCTCGCGTCCGGTTACTCGTTACAACGTGCTTCTCTCCTTTTTCCGAGAGGCCGCGAGAGGCAAAACGCGCTTCACCCCTTTACGCGCATTATATCGCGCCGGCAACGGTAAACTTTCTCCCTCTCTGCCCTCCCCCCTCTCCCCCTCTCCCTCTCTCTCTCTCTTGTTTCAAAGCGAAGGACCGAAACGTTTGTCATAACAAGTTCCCGACTCTTGTTCGCGTCGGGGAGTTAAAAGGCGACGGCGCGCAAAGAGGAGCGACTGCCACGGCGGACTAATTGGAAAACGCGCGCCGAACAATCGAGCCCCATTTCGCCGTGCCCGCGAAACTTTCGCCAAGGAATTCGCCATTGTGCAGCGACGCGCACGAATGTAGTTCGCGTGACTGCGCCCGATATTTCGCGCTAAGTCGCGCGGCTGCTGGCTCGGGCCGCCGCTAGAGGTGTCAATTTGTCGAGCTCTATAATGGAGAATAAGAGAGAAAGAGAAAGAATGACAGAGAGAGAGAGAGAGAGAGAGAATGAGCGAGCGAACGAAGAGAGTCTTAGAGGGGGAGGCAAGACGAGGAGAGCAGGGAAGAATATACATTCACGACGTCGACGAAAACCGACTATTTCCCGCGTCGTCGTCGTCGTCGTCGTCGTCGTCGTCGTCGTCGGGAATGCGGAGCCGTCTAGAAGTGAAGTAGACTCATTCTCCGTCTCTGTCCCGTTCTCACGGGCCGTTTCTACGCTCGAAGAGAGAGAGAGAGAGAGAGAGAGAGAGAGAGAGAGAGAGAGAGAGAGAGCCTCGTTGGAGGCGCCTCGACGCTGCACGTCGCTGATGACTAAGGCTGTATACGTCGCGCACGTACACACGCACGCGCGCGCGACCTGGAAGTAACGCACGCAGAGGTAGACAACGTGCAGCCAGGTGCAGTCAGCTGGAGAATCTCATGCGCTAACGCGAGCGTACGCAAGGAGCGGTACAGGTGTGCGCGCGTAGGCACTGCGCTGCGAATACTAGACTCGAGAGCCGAGGGTAGGCGCGGCAGGGAGGCTGAAAACGAAGGGCGAGGAGGAGGAGGAGGAGGAGGAGGAGGAGGAGGAGGAGGAGGAGGAGGAGGAGGAGGAGGAGGAGGAGGAGGAGGAGGAGGAGGAAGAAGAAGAAGAAGAAGAAGAAGAAGAAGAAGAAGAAGACGCGATCTCGTTGTGAGCGAGAGCCCTATCGATCGTCATGAGACGTCTCCCCCCCCCCTGTATTTTGCACACCGTGTATATATACGCTTGTATATTTTTGAAATCGACGCGCGCGCGCGCGCGCAGGTCCGGGAAGACAAGAGCGCCGTCCGGTTATCGCGCGGGGAATCTCGGCGAATTTCCGCGCGCGCGGCGGAAAAAATGCGCGATTAACGGGGACTCTTCGCGACTCTGTGCGCAACTCTTTTAATGTAATCTCCGTGCTCTCCCGCTGCACTTGTGGAAACGCCAGCTCGTGCAATGCACGGAGATTATGCCGAGAGACGCCACGTGCAGCTGTCGCCGTGCCGTTTCTCGTATCTTTTCATCGCGCGCGATGAACTCCGGCGTTTTGGCGCAAGCGCTTAAATGCAAGCGCAAGAGAGGAAGTGTTTTGCCAATAAACAACAATGCGTGCAATGTGACTCTCTCTCTCTCTCTCCCCCTCCCTTCATCTATCTTTCTCCCGCCGCCTCTACGGCTCCCTTTCTTTGTTTGAGATTGTTCGGCCGGAAGAACGAGCATGACAACGTCTCTGACGCGTGTAACGCGCGACCGGGATGCGATACTCGCAGGCGATGATTATTGTCGATCGTTTCGATCGTCAGCGTTATTATCGCGTTTTGATACATCCGACGACATCCGCGAGATCGGCCGCGCGAGCTCTCACTCGCGTGACTTGTTCAACTCCGCGTTCCGCGCGGATGCGGTCCCGTTTTATCGAGATACATTTTAACTGCAAGTAGGAAAAACGATATTGCGTATCTCGAGCGTTCGCTCGCGCACGGCAATATCATGGCGGGGCGGGGGCGAGGGCCGCGATCATTTTTCCCGCCGTCCCGAGTGCAGATGATATAGTCAATTTCCCCGGCGTTATTGGTTTTCGGCCTCGCTGCGAAAGGCGAGGTCTCTCCGCGGCATGAAGGCAGATTACTTTCCACGGCGACCCGGCCGTATTAATAAATAACGCGTTATCCTGCAACGTTAACGCTGCCGATAACGCTCGCCTTCCCTCCCTCCCTGCGCGGGGAGCCGTGTATTCGTTAATTTTCCCGATAATAATATTTCTACCCCCTTGCCCCGCCCAGCCCGCCGCGTTTCGCGACGCCGATCTCATTACCTATTGTCTATCTAATATTTAATAGCGAGACGCGAGTTTATCTCGCCCCGGCATCCCATTTCGATTCGATCTGATCGATATATTCACACGTACACACACACACACACACACACACACACACACCATACATAGCACAGGGGACACAGATGGTGGGCGAGGCTGAGCAACATTATTATTCCACGTAGTTTTACGTAGACTCTCTATGGAAAAACATATGTAGCTCGGTTAGTTTCTTTATCTTCCGACGAGCTGAAGCGCGACAGCGATACACATCGGCCATTGGGCATTACCGGTCTCCTCTCGGATAGCGTATACGATATTTTCCAAAAGGCCACGCCGATCGTATCGCCGCGCGGAGATTGCTTCATCGCTCGAAAACCGCGATTCTCGTGTCTCCGAGAAAACCGCGCGCGCGTTACCATGTCAGGGAGAAAAAGAGAAAGAAAGAGAATAGAGAAAATGCTCGCGGAAATCGCGACGATTTGCATAATTTTTGCACGGCCAAGCCGCGGAGGGAGAAGCGCCGCGAACCCGCCCCCGCCCCCGCCCTCGCGCCGTCGCGTCCCTCGAGCGAATGCAGCTGCCAGACGATTCGAGTCGACTCCGCGGCTGATTAATTGCATCCCCGCACGGCGCGTTTTCCGTTTTCCCTACCGCTTCGGCGGTGTATTTAAGTAGCTTCCAAGATATTCGATAGTTGCCGCGCGCGGACGCGCCGCGCCGGTCCGTCCCCCTCGGAAGTTCCTCCGGAACTTCCGGAGGCTCTCCCCGCCGTCGGGCGAACGCGCCTTCCGCCCTCGCCGACGTTGTCACGTCAATGAGCGGTAATCGTCTAATTACATTACCGTTGACGCGTCCGTGTAATACTTCGTTCGCCCGCGCGACGCCTCGAAACCGAAATACTAATCGCTGCTCCTTCCTTCGTCCCGAGCCCTTCGCGATGATCCCTTCCCGACCCCGTCGACGAGACTGGATAATCACGTAGGACTTGGACTTTCATTGCCCGTCGCGACACTTTTTATGCTTTTCTGCGCATGTTGGGATTGAGTTTTAACCCTTAAAGGGGCTACCATGGATGACATTTCACTCCGTGCGAATTTTTGATCTTATTAAAAAGCATAAATACACTGACAATAGTAATTTTATAGGTATTTATTCGCACCATCGGATCAATCAGATCAATTCTCGCATATACTTTGCTATAAACGATAACAAAAAAGCTAGCTTGGGATGGGGGGGATGTATGATGACAGTTTTGAAGAGTTAATAAATTCCTGTGAAAGAAAGTCGACGGAGGGGATAAACGTGAGATTCTCGCCACTCCTCGAGTCACCTCGAGGTGACGCAACGCGGCGTCGCGCGCGCTCAATTATTTCATTACACAACAACAGCCGCCGTTTTACGACGCCGCGACACTCGAGCTTCCCGGTCAGTTTACACGCGAGGACTGAGTAAACCGCGGGCGAGCTTTAGCTGGCAGCGGCTCGAGGGCGTCGTATCTGAACGTCGGCCGACGAGACGACTTACCTTTGCCTGCGCCTGGCCGTTCGTCGCGTTTTACAGGGTGATTCGCGGTGCATCGACAAGATAGATACGTCGCGTAGCGGCGCATTTGACGACGGTCCGTCGCTCGGGCGGAGGAGGCATAAGAGCTGTTTTATGATCGACGTGCTTCGGTCCGCCGGATCGAATAAGACGGCCCCGGACGACGCCGCCATGAGAAAGCTCCCTCGAGCCGATCGACGGATGGCGCGCTTTCGCTTTATCAGCTTCGTTGTTGGCTAATGATCGGCGTACGGAATACGTCATTGTCTCTCGCCAAGTGTCTCGTTAAAAATAATTATACCGATGACAGCAGCGCAGACGCCACCGATCCGCTCTCGATTCGCGAATCGATCC